CTTCCAATTTTAAAAATATCAAAGATAATTTAACAATTTTGAAATAAATGTTCTAGTGTAACTGTTAAACCCTTTAATTAGCAAGCTACTTGGGGAAAAAAATTTGTCGAGAGAAGGTGCAAAGCAACTAGGTTCAATCTTATACTCATTCCATTATAAAAATACTTTACTAAAGATGCTGTACCTAATTAGCTTGTTTCAGATTAGGTCTAACTATATGCATACCTGCCAACATTTAATCCTTTCAAGGATGATTTTTCCCAGTGGTAGTAAAATGGAATTTAAATTACAATTTCAGGCTGAAACATACGCTGCATTTTGAACAAGCTTATGCGGACTATCACAACAGCATTACATATTAATTTATATGCTTATTTTTTTAAAAAAATTGTGGTTAATCAAAAAGATTATAAATTAAGTTTATATAAATGCAAGGAATATATAGAAAGCATAAATTTTACTACCGCTTTAAATACAGATATAAAATTTTTAAAGTTAACAGGTATGTATATGGGACCACATTTATAAAGTTAAGTTATTGTATCGAATACATGTTTGAAAATTACTTATTATAAACACCAATTTTTAGACTTGTATTATCAATAACAAACTGTTGATCTGACAAGATCCTTTTTATAACCTAAATTAGTCAGATTATTTTGGAGATTAATAATTTTAAAAGAAAGGCTTAGTAATTTTGCCTTAAAATCAATAAAGCAGTCTCTTTTGTTTGATGATGTGATTGAAACTTTTACCTATGTTAAGCATGAATTTTTTTCAATAAATATTTTTTCATTATAAAAGGTTCTAGTACATTTATTTTAACAATATGTATTATTTTATAAAGTTAGTTGAAAGGAGTATAGAAAATGCAAAATTGAAATTTTCATAATACTTAAATGCCTTGCATTTTATGATAGGAATGTAGTTGCATTTATAAATTGTCAAGTGTGACTTAACTGATTTTAAATTTAATTAATAAAATATTGATTAATGTTTTGTTCCCATTAAAAAAACTTTTGTCTGTCTCAGGTTTTTTTTTTATATATATATCAAAAACAAATTATGTGTAAGTAACCAATTTCAATGTTGTATTTCGTAAAAATGGATTTAGTCACAAAATGAAGCAGGAAATTTATTTTTTCTTCTAATTTATAACAATGAAATTTTTAAAAAAGCAGCTACATAAATTTTTTAATACAGTAAAATCCTGACTAACCTAAAACTTCAAATAACCAGAATTTTTGGAAATTTATGCAAAAACACTTGTTTCATTTTTTTTCTTTCAAAAGATCAATTAAGTGCTCAAAATCCACTGTATAATACCAGTAAATTTCAGGGATTCGGAAATTCTTCTCTTTATAAACATAAGATAATGGGAAAATAAAGAAAAGAAGAAATTGAGAGGATTGTATTTAATGGTTTTTTGATTTGTGCCATTTTAGTTTCTTTGAATTAAACTTATACAATCTTTGATATATATTAGAAAAATAAAACAAGAGCAGGAATAATGAATATTAAGTAGATTTGGATTAAATGCAGACGGTTTCTGTAAAAGAAAATCCTTTTTTCCGAAATATGTAAAAATATGACGAACTAAGATTTTCAGCATTAGTTTTGTTTTAAATTAAGAAAGAATGATTGTATATATATAAACTGTTTTTTTATGACTCTCACTTTTTAGGAGTGTTTCTGATAGTCTTTATAGTCACTTTTTTTTCTGAAAATACAGTAATAAGATCATCTGCTTTAAAGTTTAGTTTTAACAATTAAAAATAGTATTTTTCAGTTTCTTTTTAATGGCACTGCAATTTTAAGAGAACTTCTGATGATTTCTTTTTATTGTCACTTTATCCTAAAAATACAATATAGAAAAATGAGTTCTTCAGTTTAGCTTTGTTTTAATTCTTTTTTTAGTAGCTACTAATAAGTCTTTTTATTTATATCTCATTATTTTCTATAATCAAAGATTCTGATATATTTTTTCTTTGTGGCATTTTTTTTATTATTATTGTTATTATTAATTTTCGTTTTTATCACATCTTTGCCTGGTAAAATCAATAATATAAAGTAGCAGGAATTTCAGTATTATATTGGCAACTGATAAAAAATATATAAATATACAAGTTGATAAAAGAGATGATAATAAACTAAGATTTTTTTGTTCTTTTTCTTTATCCATAATTTTTATAGACAGCTACTTAATTTTTCTCTAATCATAATTATTTTCATAAGCCATAATTTTTTATTTTTATCATGGCATTGAATTATTTGCCCAAAAAATACGATACTATTACAAATTTAGATTTTTGGCGCTCATGGACAATATAAAAACAAATGGACAAATATAAAAACAAAACATAAAAATATTACTAGCCATATCATCGAAATGTATTTAACTGTTGCAAATGCTATACACTGCTTATTATCTAATTCCTTTATTGCTAGAATATGACCATACTCCTCTGGTCCAACTGTCTTAAACATGTTTTTGTCATTCATTTAAACAAAAATAATTAATTTTACTTTAAAAAAATTATCTATAGAGTTGTAAAAACAAAAAAGGGAATGTGAAGCGTCTGTATTTAGGTGTTCAAATTTCATTAAGGGCCATAAAGGATTAATTTTTTTTGGTTTTTTTTGTTTTAACATCTGAGTAGGTGAGACATCAAAAAACTATGAGGGTAGTTTTTTAATTAAATTCCACTAGGAAATAAAAACCAAATGAAAGAAAATTTTCAAGAAGCAAATTTGTTTTCAGATTCTATTTACGTATCTCTTTTTTTTCAGCATATTTGCCAAGTTTGTTTAAACACTTACCATACCTTACAACTAGATTTAGAATACCCTCTTCATGCAAACTTATCGCCGGCTCTGCTAACCTAGAGGTCACATCGGTTTTTTCGTATTTGTCATCATTGTAGTGAATGAAGTCAAAATGATGTTTGAAATATCAGAAAAGATGAAAATCACTCAGTTGAGATCTGAACAGCGGAGAGAGTCGCTGTCATAGAGTAGCAAAATTCCATGTCGCTGAGCACAGTTGTTATTAAGGAATTCTGGAACAAGACACAAGCACGTCACGTACGCGTGCGTCACCTATTAGTTTACACAACAAAGCAGCCCTTACTTAAAAAAACATTGTAATATTTTAAATAAGATAGACACTTGGAAGTCAACGAAAAGCTTTATTTTAAATACAAATTAAGTGATTTAAAACATTCTTATGAGAAAAAAACTAGATAAAAATTTGAAATCAATAGGTTTAAAATTTTTAAAAAAATAGGATACATAACCATGAACACCAGCTACTCCTTAAAAACCTTTACGTTTTCAAAATAATTTTTTGCTAAAAAAAAATTAATAATTAGCATAAATTTTAGAGAATAGAAACGATAAACATTTTTAAGATTCAGTTTTGAAAAATTATTTGTTCTTAATTGATATTGTTCAGCATCAAGAAGTTAAAACTTTAACTAATTTTAATCAAGTAAATAAAAATCTCATTATAATTCCTGAACTCAGTAAGAAATAAATACAGCTAATAACTAACTGGTCAATCAAAAATATGTGACCTTAATTAAAAAATTGCACATTACAGCAAAAATATCTAAGTATTTAACAGATGTAAGAAAATTATAATCACTAAAAATTAAATGAAAAAAAATGATTTTGAATTTATTTCAATTCCCATTAAACAGTAAAGAAAAAAAATATTCACATATATTAAATATGTGCGATTTTTTAATCATTAAATAAAAAAAAATTTATACATTTTGGAGAAAAAGATAAGAACAAAACTAAAATTGGTTTTTACAAAAAACACCCATTTTACAGATAAAAATCAAAACATTATAATTTTAATATTCCTATTAATGAGAAATATAAGTTGTAAGAATTATGTGTCTGAAATGAAGAGATATTTTTTTTAAAAGAGTAATGTAAAAAATAAATTTTCAGCAATAGCTTTTACAAAATACATTTCAGGTAGCAATAATTTTTTATTTCTATATGAATTCTATATTAGGGAAACAAATACAAAACTATTTCTAATTTTCCTCTGTTTATCAGAAACTTTTTGGTTCTAGGAGCATAGTTTTTTAAATTCATCAGACACGATATCTTTTTAATGATAGAATTTTTCACTAAGAAATACAATTACGTCATATATATATATATTGGGTTGAGTAAAAAATCATTGCATTTATTTTTTTTTTTGGCAACAGATTACAATAATGCAGTTTCTGAAATTATTAAAGCATTTGATATATTTGCTGCTATATCATTATGATCTAACTGTTCATTTTTACCCTATTTTTCTGATTTGTTTCAAAAAGGGGAAAAACATGCTTCAAGCTTGTGAGAAATTCATAAAGTTTACAGCAAAAATGCTCTACAAGAACGTCAAGGCCAAAATTGGTTCAGGAAATTCCATGCTGATGATTTTGATTTGAAAGATTTTCTTCAATCAGGAAGGCTTACCAAGATTGATGATGACATATTAAAGACATTGGTTCAGTCAAGCCCACATTACACGAAGCAAGAGATTGCACAGATATTGAAGATTCATCAAAAAAGTTTTTGTGTCAATCTAAGGAAACTGGAATACGCAAGCAAGCTCGATATTTGGATTCATCATGAACTCAAAGAAGTTTAATTGGTGACTCAAATAAAGAGCAGTGATAGGTTCATGAAACGTGAAGAAAATATCATTTTTTGAAGAGAGTGATAACTGGTGGTTAGAAGTAGATTGTTTACAATATGGCGTGCAAACTGTTTTTGTCTGGAAGTGATAAATCATCCTCAATGAATTCAACAGCAGAACTTCATTAAAAGAATGTTATGCTCTCAATTTGGTGGAATTTGTAGTGTTTTTTATGAGCTGCAAGAAAAAAACGGTGTAATAGTTTCAGATATGTACTGTAGACAATTGAGCAGTTTGAACATAGCTATCATCCAGAAATGTCCGGAACTAGTCAAACATAAAAGAGTAGTATTCCTTCACAACAACGCGAGACCAACTCACGTCTTTTGTGACCCGTCAAAAAATATAGGAGCTTGGGTGGGATGTATTGTTCCACCCAGCATACTCACTAGACATTGGGCTGTCAGACTTCCACTAGTTTTGATTTGATCAAAACTCCTTGAGTGGAATAACCTTAAATTAAGATGAGGCTGTAAATCAGCACTTTGTTCAGTTTTAGCAAATAAAGACAGGTCTTTCAATGAACCAGGAATTATGAAGCTCACCGAAGGATGGCAAAAGGTATTTGAACATAAGAGAACATACATGATTGATTGACCTTTAACCTTTATTTAGACCCGCTATGACTTTTTACTCATCCTAATATATTAGCATAAATTCAAACTATTACATATTAAAAACTAATTTTCCAAATTTTACCTTTTTATTTACGATAAAAACAATTAATGGGGATATCAGGGAATTAGTGGGTATTAGTAGCTGCGAGTATTTAATGCTGTTCCAATGTATATAGGAGCATATCCACAAAGTAAAATTAATTTTATCATCTAAATGTTTATAATACTGAAACAGGGTTCCCACTCTTTTATCAAAGCCAAACTTAATGAGTTTTAGAAACTTTTCTGTTGAAAAAAATTAAGTACATTTTTAAAAGACGTTACAATAATATAATAATTATTTATTATCAAATATACATATACCCACAGTAACAGTTATCTACCTTTTTAAAAAAAATTTCATTATATTGCAAGTACTGATAAAATTGTATTTATTATGGAACTGTTTATTTTTCAGTACAGTTGGGCATTTTAAAAAATATTTCTGCTTTTAAAAAATTTGCAGCTACTTATTACACTTTAAAATATCATACACATTTAATTCTTCAAATTTTTTAGAAATAATTGCTTCCTTTACGAACTATAGTTCAAAAATTTTGGTTACTTCTTTTCTATAAACGCATGCACTACCAATAGAATTGAATTTCTTGGACTCTGTCGATATGGTAGATCAATGTGGGTACCTCGATACTGACAAAAAAAAGGTACAATTTCTTTTTCGCATGCAATATCTCGCTCACCCACACCCTATTCTATTCTTTCAGAAAGCTCCACATGGGGCCTCATTCGAGGCAAAAGGAAGAATATTTTAATAAAAGAACTACAACAAGGGCATGTTTTCTTACCTTTGCCTGTATTCTTGTCTCTTAAAATGCTCTACCCTAAATGCAGAATCTCATTTTAGACAAAAGAGAACTGAAATCTTAGTTTTAAACATTTTTGTAAGACTAAAAAATTGTCTTAATCAACTAGTGATGCTTGAAATTTAGAACTTTTAAAAACCTTCTAACAAAAATAAGTATCCTTTAAGGGCCTTAATTTTCTAAAATAAAATTTAAGGACTTTCAATGACCATGGGAACCCTGTGAAAACAAACACTATTATTAAAATCATACATATATATATATATATTTTCACTAATTATACACATAGAATTACTAATTAAATTTATTTCAATAATTAAATACATAAACCTTTTGGTAACCAAGTCTTATGGAAAAAGAAATTTTTTACTATACATGAATAGGATAGAAGGCTCTTATTAGGGAAGAATTTGAATTTTAATTTAATTGTACAACATTTATTTTAATTTTCAAACAAGAAAAATATGATTGATAAATATATTGAACCCTTTCAAAATAAATTTTGAAACATTATGATTATGCGGGAAACTACTATCTCTAAATGATAGTGCAATACACATTTCTAATCATCAATCATGGTGAGCAATCGATATTTCACAGTTCTTTTGACATAGATTTCGTCCAAGATCTCCTAGATTGATAATAGGTGGTCCTATCACTCTTTTTTTCATGTTTAGAGAATTCAAGATGTTTCATGTATATTGAGCGGTGAGATCAAAATAAATTGTGGTTTGAATTACATTCTCGAGACTTTTGTTATCGATTGATTCATTGTCATTGGAAAAATTTCAGTTTGAAAAGAGCAAAAATGTCTAACGCCTGTATTTGGAGTTATTTTTCAGGGAATTAAATAAAATTTTAACAGTTCAGTAAGGACACTCTAATGAGTATTAAAATAACATTGCATTTATAGAACAGCAAACGGTACTTCAGGTAGCAATGGTTATGATGAAAGGGCTACACTAACAGGGGGAGGAGGTGTTATTAAAGAGCATAGACTATATATATATATTGCGCACACACTTAAAAAAAAATTTCTAAAAACATAACTAATATAATATTTTACTAATAGAGATTAAAATTGGCTTATACTTACTAGCAACAGAAAATTAAACACTTTAATTGATAAAACTCGCAGCTTACTTATGAAATATACTGTATATAATACCAGGGGTCTGTTTAGAAGAAATTTGAGTCCGTTAACGGATCCTTCACAAAATATCTTTTCATAAATACGGATCCTTCACATAATAATTTATCTTTTAATCGGACCCTTCACAAATTTGCTTATCTTCATTATTGTTTTGTTAATGGAATAAACCCTTCCTGGGGGTGGGGGAAAAGACGGTTCGAGACAAACTAAGTTTCCCTAAGTTTAAATTTCAAATATAGTATTCTAAGAAAATATTTCTACTTTTATAAAACATCATGTACACATTCTTATTAATATTAAACCATATTTTTTTGTAAATAATTAATTGATCAATTTATATTTGTTCATAAAATTAATTAATAGAATATTATGTACATAACAATTAATTTCTGGCAATTTTTTAAACAAAATATTCCAAATTTAAGAATTGCTTAAGTTTATCTAATGCGTAACACATTAAAAGTGATACATTTCTAAGTTGTGTTATTTAAAATACGTCAATTGAAATTATTAAAAATGTGAGTAATTATGTTTTGATTATTCGTCCAAAATGAATATTCTATGCTGGGCAGTTTAGGCTAAATGCCAAATATAGGTAAGTTGCATCTCTAATTTAGTAGCAACAATTGTTGAGCAGAATCCTTTATCTATTTACAATTTAAAAACATTTTGAAAAGGTTTTTAGCAATTTTTGCAATAACAGGACCCTATTTGCACAAATTCAGAAAAACAGGATCCTGGTTAAAAGAATGTGACTTAACACTTATTTTATATTCACAAATTATAAATAGTTTTTTTCACAATTTTACAAAAACAGGACCTTTCACAAAATGTCTGGACAGACCCCTGAATACAATAAGTAATAAACTGCATAGTAACAAACAAAACAAAATATTTAAAGAAAAAAATATTAGTATCCTTTTTATCATTTGAATAAGTTTCACATTTTTAAATAAGCAAATTCTTAATTTAAATAATAAAAGCAATAATTAAGGGTTTTTAGATTATTAATAATAACAATAAAAATACCTGCATAGTACAATTTGCATTAATAATACATTTTATGGCACATGTATGTATCACAATGGCAAAATAAAATAAAATGAAGTGATAATGAAATAAATAACATGAGATACATAAAATAAAGCATAAAATGAATTTTCTGTATTCATAAAAAGAATAATCTCTCTTTAAAGGGCAACCATAACTGACGATATCTGTGGGTCAAAAACACAGCTAAAAGCTGGAAAAGAAAAGAAAAATATAATGAATAAAATATTAAATGCATAAAAAATATCCAATTTCTTAAGTTACAAGCAATTAGAAGGGAATGTGAAAAAACTTTTTGAATTGCTTAGTTTTTGTATTAGCTTGTCTCACACTTTATTATTTAAAAAAAAAAAAAAAGAAAGAAACTAGTTTCATATTGAATCAATGTAATTAAGTATTAATTTAAAAATGCAACATTAAGTTATATTTTTACATAATTAAATCAGTAAGAATATCTCATAACTTTTGTATGGAATGAAACAATATATTTCTTATGGAATGACACAATGATCAGGAACTTAATCTCTGACATGGTGGGGTATGAGGGTGAGTGCAGTCATCATATCATGCAAGTCGTGATTCAATAAGCTTCCAGCGATCCTAGTGGGAGGAACATAGTGCAGCACTTAAGTTAGTCATAACCAGGGTGGGTTGGTTTAAACCAAATGGTATTTTCAAAAAAACCAAACTTGTTTTTTTTAAAAAATAATCTTTATAAAAGTTCAATTTTTATTATTTATATAAATAGTTTTAGTTTGCATAAAACCAAATGCAAAAGTATTTTTTCATAAAAAATTTTCCACTTTTAAGTTTAATGGGAATCTGTATTTCTTTATATAAACATAAATACATAATTTTGAAATGTTTAGATATAGGTTTCCTGCAAATATATCTGGAAAAATAAATTGATGTGAGCAAAATGGTTAATAAAAAATACAGCATTACTAAATTCATTTTCTGATTCCTTTTAAAATAAGTTAAATAATGTAATAATTGAACAAATTAAAATAGAGTTAGAGAAACTTATTTTTTATCTTGTTAAAGACACTTTATGCTTGTTACACTCAAAAACATAAATGGAAATGAAATGTTTAAATTTTATACATTACTCTTCAGTTCATGTTTAAAAAGAAATTCTGTTATCAATGTAAACAAATTTGTAATGTATTATGATTTTATTCATTGCGTATTCATATAAAAGCACTTCTAACGAAAAATATTCAGAATTCATTAAGGTTGGCACGATTTAAATCATGATTAAAATTGAGATTTAAATCACTGTTTGTTTGTTTTGATATATATTAAGAAACCACTGTGGTTTTTTAAAAGCTGTTAATTAAAACAAACGGAATTTTTTATATATTTTTTTTTAATTTAATTATAAAAATATTTGCATACATACAATCATTTAATTAAAAAATGAATTCTTTAGGATATGATTTTTTTTAAATATCTCATTTCAGCGATAATGACGGTATTTCACTACAAAATAATAGAAGGGATATGCATGTAAATTATTATATTCACATGCCAGTCCATTCCATTTTTTCATTGGAAAAAAACATTGATATAAATCAAGATATTTTTTTTAAAAAGAAACCTATCTTTAATTTAAGTATAAATTAATTTTAAACAATATAATTAATGAACTAAATTTTAAGGTGTGACATTTTTTAATGCTTAATTTCATTGATTATGAAGGCTTTCACCAAGAAATAATAAGAAGAATATGCACGCAAATTTTTGTATTAACATGCAAGTTCCTTTCATTATTTTTTTTAATAAAAACATTGATTCAAATAAAAAGTGAATTTTAAAGAAGATCCATACATTAATGAATTGATTTTTTTAAGAAATATTATTAATTCAAGTATAAAATAGTTTAAACAATATAATTAATAAATACATTATTTAGGGTCTGATTTTTCTAAAATTTTATTCATTGCTAATGGCTATTTACTAAAAAATAATGAAACGGATATGCAAGTAAATTATTATATTTTAAAATAGGCTTTAAAAATCTAGACTAAATGCAAGAGTGCCACTAAACTTTTGTATCATAATTTTCCATTAAATGTATATAAAATAGCTTGTAGGCAAAAAACATATTTCAATTATACCCATTTAGTTTTATGCTTATCTAAATGCAGTTTTTACATGTAGCTCACGTACATCAAGTCTATTCAAACCAAAGTAATTTAAAATAGTTTTTTTTTTCAATGTTTTCATATCTGAACTAATCTAATCTTCATTACATATCTAATTAACAAATAGTACCCCAATCCTTAACATTCATTGGCAGGTTGAGCTTCTAAAATATAACTGTAGTGATAGTAGAGGACAAGTTTATCCCCCACCTAATTAAATAATTAAGGAAGGAGAAGTAGATGAAAAAGTAGGGTGGTTTTTCCTCTATAATTGCATATTTTTCTTATATTTCTGCATTTTGGCCACTGAGGGCCTTTTTATTTTGCCAATTGTTTTGTTTATTGTTTTTAAATGTTAATTAATAAACCTTTTGCAGCTGTTATTATACTTGGATTTATTTCAAACATAGTAATGCTCGTCACATCAGAGCAGTAAGCGCCAAAATACGCACTTACTTCCATGGGAAAATCACGTAACTCTTTTCATATTATTGTGGAAAATGGCTGTTAAAGATAGGAAAGAAGACTTGCAATTTTATGCCACTGAATTAGGTGTTGAGAACATCCAAGACTGAAAACTACATGAATTAAAAACAGCAATTGCTGAAAACACTAATTATAAAGAAAATTTTGTGAGAGAAATGTTAAATTGATTAATTGGAAGGCATAAAGAAAATGAAGAATGGAAACGAAAAGAAAATGAATGGGAATGAAAAGAAAATACAGAGTTATAATTACGAAAAGCTACTTCAAGAATCAGAAAAGACGAAACTAGATTCGAAAAAGGCTAAGCTTGATCTGGAACCCTTGGTGGTGGGCATAAATACCTATTGTTTAATGGACCAAATGACTCGTTGACCCGAAGCAGTACCCCTTTGGTTACTCTCTGCAATTGACTACTAAGGCAGGGCTAAAGAGAATAGAAGGGCTGGTTCACTCCTTTGAAGTATCTCTCGCACCGCCGATCCTCCGACGTCACTCTAGTGACGTCACTTTGGCGCAAAGCTCGCACTTTTACTTCAAGAACGGAGCGTTTGGCCTTACTAGCTCTAACTAATATTGGATCATTTCTTTTTGCGAGATATTCTAAGACATTTGTTATTTTCTATAATGACTTTCCTCAGTTNCCCAAATAGTGACCACATTTTTATTGAGACAAAGCGGGACAAATGGGATGAAATGAGAATTACAATTTAGTCAAACTTTCAACACGCACAATATATATATAAAAATACGAATAAATGTTTGCAAAAATATTTTCAACATCAACTGGAAGTAAGTCAGATGCTGTTTGAATAGTATAGGTATAGAATGTGCGCTGCACAACCTACTCCAATATTTTTTTGCTTCAAATGTTCGTTAAGTTTCGTAAAAACGTTATTGATGCCTCTTCTAGCTTTTCCACCAAAATTTACGTTAGTGTTATCAGCACAATGGGCAATAATTTTATTTTGTGAAGTTTCATCAGGCAATGAAACAAAATCTAATATTCTAATTCTAATTCCTGTTTCTGGACAAAAAATCTAAAACCTGTGGGAAATAATTTTAAATCTTTGTGGTTGGAAACATCAGAATATATGGATATAAATACGCATTTTTCTAATTCTTTCTGCAATTGTGAAAACGAATATGGTGAAAAAACATTACAAATAATTGCTTCGGTTTTTGTCCCTACACATGCATATTTTTTGTCGTATAATGTTTTGATCACTTGCGACGTACAATCCATTGATCTGAAACTTTGATTGTGGTTTATGGTGCGGAAAGCAAATAGCCCTTCCGCTAATGCTAGCTGTTTTTCCATGTTGCTAAAGCTAGCACTGCGAAAACTCCATTTTAGATGAGGAAGCGGCATTATTAAAAAATCTTTTATGCCTCTTTGTCGCTAGATGTTTAGTAATATCGTTTTTTCCACCATGTGAGACCGAAAATTCAGCGTTGCGTTTATCACGCCGTACCATATAGTCTATTTTGGTACTTTTAATAAATGGAAATTCTCTGCTTAGCTCTTCATAAAATTTGCATCCTCTTTTTTTACTCATCTTTTATTTTGTGGGTAAATACTAGTAATAAATAAAAAAAATTACTACAAAGGCTAAAAAAAGTATTAAATTTTACCTTTCTGACTGTTACTTTGTGGCGACTATTGCTCAACCTTTGTCAATCAAATAATGAGTCAAATCGAACGTCAAATTGAAAACAACAAACCGCACTGTCTAATGGTAGTCCGCACTTATCTGAATTAAGCCGAGACGTAAAGACAATGATAGCACACCACCGAGTAAATCTAACTTGGTACATTGCCTAATTCAGTTTACTCTGCACGCATTTTATGTGTTTTTTGTGTATTTTTTATTTCTTTATATTCACCATAATACTTAATAAATAATAGGAATATATTTTTACAGTACATTTAAAATAAGAAATGCAGATATTTTCTAAAAAGCGGGACATTTTTAAAAATCGGCGGGATGCGGGACAGTCCACCAAAAAGCAGGGACTGTCCCGCCAAAATCGGGACGTGTGGCCACTTTATACTAAGGTGATTTTAAATATATTTTCAAGCATGGAGATTCCAAATATCATAGCTAGAGATCAAGGTACTAATTTTACAACATCGCTGATGCAGGAGTTTATAAAAAGAACTGAATCTAGTCCTAGATATCTTTCTAGCAACGATTTGGTAGAAAGCTGAAATTAAGTTTTAAAAAATATGCTACATTATATTTTTGTTTTACTTTATAACCGCCCAGTGTTTTTACTACAGCGCGAGAATCTCGCATATTTTTTTATATTCTCGCATTAAAAAATGATTAACGCGAGAAATTCGCGCATTCTGTAAACAAATTTCAAAATTCGCGAATTTCTCGCATTTTGAAAAAAATTTCTCATTTGCGCCATTTAGAATAAAATCAGTTTCACTTTTCTTCCTGGATCTTTTATTATTTTCAACATCTGCCCCATTTCAACATCTGCCCTCTAGCTTCCCTATTTACCAGTATTGTTCAGAACCTTTAAGAACAACAGAACACCNAATAGGTATATATTTTTACAGTACATTTAAAATAAGAAATGCAGATATTTTCTAAAAAGCGGGACATTTTTAAAAATCGGCGGGACACGGGACAGTCCACCAAAAAGCAGGGACTGTCCCGCCAAAATTGGGACGTGTGGTCACTTTATACTAAGGTGATTTTAAATATATTTTCAAGCATGGGGATTCCAAATATCATAGCTAGAGATCAAGGTACTAATTTTACAACATCGCTGATGCAGGAGTTTATAAAAAGAATTTAATCTAGTCCTAGATATCTTTCTAGCAACGGTTTGGTAGAAAGCTGAAATCAAGTTTTAAAAGATATGCTACATTATATTTTTGTTTTACTTTATAACCGCCGTTGAACAGTGTATCAATTTATGAGTTTACAACTTCCAACGTTCAAGTCCATAGCCTTATAATTTTGAACTTAATCCGGAAGACAAGGAAACTCTTTTATCAAGTATTGTGAGAAATTTGCCATTGTGGAGGACTTTTTTATGGAACTAACCTGCATTAGCATTACATGGACAGGAAAACCATGAGAATTTCTCACAGTTAATCTAACGGCAAGGAGACTGACTCTAACCCATGATCTGCTTACCACTGAGGATATTTTACGTCAGCACTGCGGTTGGTCAATGCGGAATTCGTATCAACCAGCCATCGCAAGGATTCGAAGTGGGTCACCTCATTGGGGGGCAAGCACTCTATCCCCTGAGCGACCATGGCTCTGCATAGGATCAACAGCTCCTATTTTTACTTTTTGCTAATAGGAAGTCTCAAACAGAACGTTCCAAGTTGCTGTTCCAAGTCACTGTATGGCAAAGAAGCAAAAGGGCCATTTTCCATTCTTAAATTTTCTTGGGCAGGTGAGATGACTACTTGCAAGAGATGAAAATAAAATTAGAACTTACAACTGAAAATGCTTCATTAGTAGTAGCTGATAGGCAAAAATCCTACAACGACTAATTTAACAAAAGATCTCCAATTAGAAAATTCAACATAGGAGATCAAGTTGTCTTTGAATTTCGGATTCCAATAACAAGATATATGCAAGATGAAGGGGTCCAAGAATGATAGTTCGGCAACATCCTCCCTACTCAATCAAAGTGAAAATTGCCTGACAGAAACGTAAAACATGTCCACGTGGATAAAATTCGGAAGTATAATTCTCGATCTCTTGCTGTGGGAGTAATTTTTTAAGAAAGACAGTCACTTTGGCGAGATTCATTCGTATCCAGCTACACTGAATATAAAATTCAATGAATCCTTTAACAGTGTTGATTGACCAATTTAGACCAAGAAAAAGGAGAACTTAAACAGCTGTGAATTGAATATGAAGAGCTATTCGCTGGCAAAATGAAAATCGCTAAAGAAGGACCTCACCATATACGACTCAAACCCAATTCAGTGAGAAAGAAACCATTCGTTTGTCGGATTCCAGAAGCGCTAAAATGCAAAGTAGACAAACAAATAGAAGAGCTGGTGTAACAGGGTTTCGTCGAAGAAATTAATGCAGAGATAGCATATCCAATAGTGTGTGTTGATAAGAAGGATGGTGGTCTGCAGCAAATGTGTCAATTATAAAACTCTAAATGCTGTTTCAGACAATTTCCTAATGGAAGAAGCAGCAGAATTAACATCATGGGTAGGGCAAATATAATATGTACTCTAGACCTACTGAAGGGTTATTATGCAGTACCCATCGAACCAAAGTGCACAGAACTGACCGTTTTTAAATCTCATCAACAACAGTGTCAGTTTAAGGTCATGAGTTTTGGTCTGAAAAAATGCATCAGTAACTTTTCAGAGAGAAGAAAACATCTTGTTGCAGTACTGAGCTTTTTCACACGCCTACATCAATAATATTGCCATATTTTTGGGAAATAGGAACAAACACTTCAGGAACAAACAATTCATTTAAGAATCCTTTTATCCAAGCTAGGAGAACTAAACTTCACTATGAATTTCGAAAAGTGCTCTTTCGCGAAGACTCAAATTAAATAATATAGTAGGTTCAGGCTGATATCAGCCTGAACCTACTATCTCATGTCCTAAAACTAAAAAAGATCGACATAGTGTTCTTGGTTTGTGCAACTATTATCCTGACTACATTCCTAATTCTTGTGTTTCCATTAACTTAACTTATAAAGAGAGAGGCAGACAATATTATTTGGTCACAAGAACATGACGTGGCTTTTCTTAAACTAAAAAGATGTTTGGTCAAAGCTTTTTCTTTACACATGCCAATCAGCAACTTACCTTTCATTATTCATGCCGATGCATCCCAGATTGTGGTGGCTGTGTGTTTGTCACAAAAAAGTGGACAACAAAATACACCCTATTGCATATGCTAGCCAGAAACTAAGTGATAGTCAGCAAGCATGGTCTACTACAGAGAGAGAAGCATATGCCATAGTATGGAGTTTGAAAAAATTCGAAGTTTTTGTTTTCGGTTCACCAATAGAATTCTATATAGACCACACCCCTTTACCATTTCTAACTTTACCCTTTACCACACCCCTTTACCGTTTTAGTGCTTTTACATATTATTTTTTTTAGTTGTGCATAATGAATACTTTAGAGCTTAAAAAAACATTACTTATTTTGCCTTAAATTAAAGAAGTTTATTTTAGAGATAAATAAAATTGTTTTATTTTATGTATCAAATATGATTGACAATAAAATGTAAAAATATGCTATTGAAAATAAAAATATTTTGTTAAAAGTGTTGTTAAGAATTCTATAAAGAATGAAGAGGAAAAGAAATAGTTGTTAGCAAAGGTATTAATAAAATAGTTAGTTCACATGCATAATACCTGTAATATATTAGTATTAGAGAAAAGCACTAGGGTTAGCTCGAGGATCTCTCTGGTTACGATAGCGAACAGTCAGCCATACTCCCACAAACTAAAGAAAGTACATGAATTAAACAGGTTTTAATTAGTACTCAAATCTTAACTTACATTTTCCCCAGTAACAAAACATTTATTCATTAAAGTATATAATAATAGCAGTATTTTTACTAAGATTTAGGAAATAAGGTTGAATTCCTTTACTTTTATGCTGTAATCTTTGTACAGTGAGCAAAAAATAAACAATACACTATAAAAACTTTTTGATTTAAAGGTTGAATTTTCACATACTAGGACTCAATTTTAATGGTTTGAGGGGGTAACCTCTAATATATTAATTCAGATTATATTTAAAGTTACAAAATCAGACACAAGAAGGCAGTTTCTCTCAATAACATACTTTTTTTCCCACGGATTTGAATTTCTGAACCCCCAAAATATAAGAGTAGCCGCAATCTAGGAAATATGGTCCTCAATATGTTGAGAAATAGTTTGCTCAGGAGAGCGGTCGAAATTTTGAGCCCCTAAATCTTAATTTTACTTTGCATATTTCACCATATCTTAATAGCTTTTTCAGTGAACATAATTTTTTTTGCACACAGATATAAAATTAGTTTGTCAAAAGATAGCAAAAAAAAAGTTCCCTAGCAAAAAAAAAATATTTTTTTACTATTTTATTTAGCAATAGTCAAAAATTTTGAACTGTAAGGTACAGAAATTTTATCATTTTAAAGGCAATTTTATATCACAAAATAAAAATGTGAACAAAATCAGTCTAATTGCTCCTGAGAAATCAAATTTTAAAAGAAATCAGATTATTAAAATGCAATTTCTCAGGAACTATTTGACCGATTTTGTTCAAATTTTGTATTTTGCCATATAAAATTATATTCTTTAAAATCATGTAAAAATTGGTATACCTAGCAATTTAAAATTTTTTATTTTTAAATAAAATAATAAAAAATTATAATTGTTAAAAAAAATTTTTGGCACAGAATTATTTTTTAATAAACTTTATACTTTCGCGTAAAAATTTTCACAATTTGCTGAAAAAAGTTTTTGCTATGGCAAAAATATACAAAAAGTAAAATTACATTAAGGGATCCAAACTTTCAACTGTTCTCCTGATCAAATTACAGGGACAATATTTTGGGTTCAGAAATCATAATTGGTAAAAAAATGTTTATTCAGATAAAACACGTTTTTATGTCTGATTCTGTAACTGTAGATATCATCTACACTAATTAATTAGCATATGTGAGGTCATCCTTTAAAACTATCAAGTTCCAACAAGTGTCAAAAGGTTATTCCATGTGTTTCGCTTTTTTTAGGGGGAGGGACACTGTACATCATGGCTTTATTATAAAGAATAACTTTTAATTAAAAGTAATTCTCAAAAATAATACAATAATTCCAAATTTCATTAAAATTATAAATTACTGAATAAATGTAAGCTTTTTCCCACTAAATAGTATTTACAATAAAAGAGCTTGATTATAACCATCTGAAAACAAAGGGGTTGAATAACAAAATATTTTACCTCAGTGAAGCTAAAAAAGAGTCCGATCCCTCCACAGATTTTCAAGCTGTTATTAATTGCATTCCTAAGTATTTTCCAACAAGGAGGACACCGGTTAACTTCCCCAGCACACGAAGAAATCTAAAACATTCAAAGTAATCAAAAATAATTAAATACCTGAAAAATATAACCAAGCTAGTCATAGAGTTCTGGATAAGTAGAGACCATATCTATGTTTTAAATACTAAGTAGTAAGTTATCAATTTTTTATATTTTACATTCAAAGGACCAAGAAACCAATTAAGTCTATTTACTCCATTATGAACTCTTAGTATATTTATGACGTTTGATAAAAATTTCAGAACTTGATGCATGAAGCAGTCTTTAGAGTATTACTTTTAAAAAAAATTCTTGTATTAGGACTTAAGACATTTCTTATAAAGTATGCTTTTAAACTGGCAATCACACTTTATGAAGAATTTGCAATTCATTTTAGATTAAACTTCATCATGCATTATTGGAAACACATCAAATTTTAGCATGAACAAGGTAGCTTTGTTAAGGGTTTCACAAGGTAGCCATTGATAGCTTTGTTAAAGTTTTTTTCCCTAGCAAGTTTTAAACCAAATTACACCAATTTTTTAAGAGAAAGAGTCACCATTTCATTATATTTTAATTTATATGACACTTCAAGCAGGCACATTAAATTAATATAAATTTTATGTTTTATTAGTTTTAACTTAATTTACTGAGTGGTCATGTTTTTAGAAAACATCAGCTAAAAATAATAATTCACAAAAAATTATATTGTTTTAGCTACTAGAAATACTCTTGATATTAAAATGTTAGACACACACTATCTCATAAAATGGGATAGATTCTCTAATTTAATTAATTCTTCATAAAGCATAGTTCAATTTATATTGTTAAAAGACAATTGCTTATTTATTAATGATAAAGGAAAATACAATAAAACTTCATTGGTCACGAAATTGAAAAACTTTAACCTTCATGATTCCTTGGTGCATGCTTTACTATTTTATTTTTCAATTTAACAATTGCTCTTTTTACTTTTGACAATAAGCATGCAGAGGGGGTGAATAGGAAAAAACAAAAACAAACATCCTAAGGTAACATAAGGTAAAATATAAAGAAATATATTAAAGAAGCAAGTATTAATAAATAAAAAAAACTCTCTATTTAACCTATAAAGTTTTCTTACAATGATCAAGTCATAAACAATTTCGATTATCTATTATTTTTAAAATAATTTTAAATCAAACATAATGATAATAAAAGCAAAACACTGATTCAGTGAAATTAAAATATAAGTTTATTAGAGATTTTATTTTATTTAAGATGACTGTAGAGAAAACAAATAAATTTTTAACTATCTTAGAAATATTATTATAATTAATTATACATGTACAAAAATAAAATTTTTAGGGTTAACAGCCAAATTTTTCAGAAAATAGTAACAAAATTAGGAGGGTTAAGGAAACAAAAAGAGGAAAAAATAGAAGAGTCAGAAAGAAAATTCAATTTAATCAAGTATATGATTTTTAATATGAGCTTTACGAAATACTTAGCTAAAATAAAAATGCAACATGATTAATGAGATTAAAACAAGACATAACCAAAGTGATAATTGCTTTGTAATAAGAAATTCATGAAGCATATTAAACACACACATTTTAAAAAATATTAAATGCATTTGTTTATAACTTTGTTCAATTCCAAAAATTAACTCAAAACTTTTAGCCACTAATATATTAAAGAGTTTTTAACCTTAATAAGTTTTTGCTTAGCTAAGTGCATTGCTAAGTTTTTCAGACAGTTCTTTTAGTTTTGCAATTTTTCTGTCTGAAAGTGGTTTTGACTGAAGATAAATTTTGCATTAAACACTAAGGAAACAATTCCAACTTGCATTGTCAACTAATAGCAGAGCTCCAGCTGAAGTTATAAAACTATAGTTAGTCGGAAAGTGGTCAAAATTTTGGTTGAAACAAATTATTGAAACTTGGTTTATCAACCGATGCTGAAATTTGAGTAAAATTAGGGTGCTCTAACTACTTGAAAAGTAGTCAGAATTTTGATTCAATAAATACTTTCGGCATTAATATCATTATAAATTCTGGTTGTGGATGTGAAAAAACGATTGAAACGATTGTATTGTCATCCGGCATAGAGCTCTAAATAAAATTTGAGCAACTTAGAAAGTAGTCAGAATTTTGAATTCGGTTCAGTACATATTAAATCAAATGATTATTTTCAATAATTTCTAAATGAAAACACAAATAAAAAGAATCAAAATAATAGAATTTTGAAGTAACTTAGTCATTGTTTGTCTGAACTGAATATTGAGCTTGTCAAAATTATTTCTGGTTTTGAGATTTTAATATAAATGAGAAGGCTATTATAATAGTAAATTTGTAATTGGTCTATGATAAAATTGATACCACTTTTTTTAAACCATAGAGTTATTACGTAATTACAATATTTCCCAACTGCATCACTTTTTGCAAAATCTTTGTAACAATGTTTTAGTTCTAAAGATTCTTAGCCTGTTAGGAATATTTTTACTAACAATTAAGTGAAATAAAAAATGATTATATCGAATCATTAATTTCAAAATTTATTTAATTATGCATTTGCATAATTAAAGTAAAAACAAAAAAACAGATTAAAATGTTTTAAAATTTATTTCAATTCTGAGAAACATTATTTCAAATTTAAGTAACAGGAAATTTTTTACATGCAATAAAACATTCATAATTCAATTTAAAATTAATAGCTTTCTTTCTATCGGTTAAATAAATTTTAAAAAATATTAATTATTCACTTTTACCACTGAATTTAATTGGTAACACAACAGGAAAAGTTATTAACTCTTTTATAATGGAACCCTGAAAAAATTCTGGGGGGGGGCACATCAAACAGTACTAATAAAAACGAAAATTTTGAAACAATATATTGAACATGATTTTATCATTGAACATAATAACTTTTGTTTAAGGCATGAGTATTACAGTCCCTAGCAAGAGTTACTTTAACCCACATTTATGACTAATAATAATCTAAAAGGTCTATTAAAAACATTTTTTCACAGGCCGAATTTTATAAAAATTAATTTTAAAAAAATAGACTAAAATAGCCCTATTATCAGTTATTGTAATCCTGATGAAGGTAGGAGAAAAGTTATATCTTATTTCAACCGCTTTAATATGTCACTATCTTAATCTTAAGTTCAGAAATCAGGATTTCCTTAACATTTTATTTTGAAATAATCAAAAAAAATGGGGAAAAATTCGGAAAACTGATTAATAAAACTTTCAAATTGTAGTCAATAGGGAAGCCTAAGAGAATCAATGTTAATACGAATTAATTACTCAATATTCCTAACTAAAAAAGAACCAACAGTAAAAATGTCAAAGTAATGAATAAATTTTTTTTACATTTTGATAATATACTCCTCCACCAAGTGGTGCATCTGGTGGCAAGCTTTGATTCTCAAATCCATAGCAGCGGAAAAAGGTTTGCGCTTTAATCTTTATAGGTAGCTTTGCTTTGCGCCAGCCTTCCATGGCGATTTGGTGCTGTTGTTCTGCACTAACAGCTAAGCAGGCGCATGCTATACTGAACTGAATTATGAACAATAAAAAGAGTATCAGCATGTACTGAAAAATTATCAAGGATTAATATACACAAATTGAAAAAGCATCTTAGAACACTATATAATAAAGATAACAAAACATTTGAAAGAATTAAAAACCAGAGAAATTTAAAAACGCGTCATTACTTTTAATTATCTATCTTAATTAATTTAAGTTCTCTAAATTATTTTTACTTTTAAGGACTTAAGATAGAAGCAAAGCTATCCTGTTCTAAATGAAGCAAAAGAATATATAAGATTTACATAAGATTATTTTATGAAGATTTTTCCAATACATAAGGTCTCAATATATACAAATCTCAAGAATAAAAGAAAATTGGATTTTTAAGGGAGGAGGGAGGAAAAGAGAATTCTCTTTTCTGATCATTGAAAAGTGACTGGAAAATAAAAAAAATATCAGAAAATGGACATTTGCATATATGGAACTTTTTGTACTATGCTGAATAAATTTAAACTTGCTGAATGGTTTACATATTGCTTTGGAACTATATTCAGAATAGAACTTGGATTAGAGCTTTTTATTAAATTAAAGCTTATGGTAATTTAACTCTATGTATACAAAATATTTGAAATGTCAACAATATAGAACAATATTGAACAATAGTTGAAATATTGAAATGTCTAATGTTAGAAAAAGGTAGGAGGTTTTTGATCCTCAGTTGAAGAGTCGGAAAGGTTAGGTGCTTCTCTGTTTATCAAGCGCTCGTCACCAAATCACCCATTTCAAGAACAAGCCATAAAAATACAATTACTGTCTTTTATACAAAATGTTTTGTTTAGCTTTCGATGCATATTAATTAACTCAATAATTCTAAAAAGGGTTTTTAAAAAAATTAATTTGATACAGAGGCGGATAATGCGTTAGCATAAAAGGTTTAACAGGCTTCATACTCAAAAAGAAGAAATTTTTTTCCTGACTTTTCAAGGTAGATTTACGTAAACTTTCAAGATTTAAAAAAAAAATTTCAACAAAATTTATATTTAATAAATTAATCCATATTCATTAAATCAAATAAAATAAAAATTAAACAATGATCTTAATCAACACACAAGCAAAAAGTAAATAAATCAGTGATAAAAATGTAATATTCATAATCCTTAGTTGTGAATTAATTAGTAATTCAATTATCTGAAAATATGAAACAAAGCGGCAAGAGAACAAAAAATAGAAGTTTATCTTATTAATCAACAAAATGAAAGAACAACTGCTCAACAACTAAGTCATCTTAAAAAAATTATAAATAAAAATATTAAACAAAAATTTTTGTATTTAATTGAAAATAAATCATATTCAAGCAACTGACTAACGTTTTTAATGGTAAGGGAAAAAAAAGAAGTAAAAACTATAAAATTGCAATATATTAAAATTTTCTATTTAAAAAAAAAAGAATTATAAATAAGATGGAAAAATATGAGAGAAAATAAAAACTATGATGGTGAAATAGGGAAATTACAAAAACACTTATTTTAAAGATAAATACTTAACCAACACAAACAGAAACTAATAAATATATAAGTTAATTGATGCCATTCATTTAATTCAATTATTATAATGTACCAAATTATAATAAATTAAATAAAACCAAATTATAATAAACTAAGGATTTATTAAATCATCAATTTAACTAACATAAAATAAAATTAATGGTTAAAAAACGCAACATATTTCATACCTAATTTTAAGGGACAGAAAATAATAAAATACAAGGAAAATTTAATAAAAACGTCTAAAAATTAGCAAATAAAAACGATAGTAAAGCTGCGATCTGTTTCATGAAAAATCATCCGCTTTTAGTAATAAATAATGTTATTAGAATATTTATGTACAAAGTATGTTCTGCTTTTATTTCTTTTACTACACAAAAAAAAAATATAAAAGACAATTTTTAACAAAAGCAGATGTGATTCTACATCTGGCAAGATGTAGAATGCAGCACCTTTGAATAATCAGAATTAAATTTAAAATATTTTTTCTTTAATTGATATAAAATAAACATAGCAGACGATTGAAAAACGTTTTGTTCATAATAAATTAACGCATTATCTGATATTATAAAACAATCAGACATCAAGGATAACGAAAATTGAGAAACAAAAGTGAATTTTAAAAAAATAAAGCACAATTAAGCCAGTTTTTTGTAAAAACACTGAAATGAATTTTATGAAGTTTGTAAACACATTTTTTTGCTACTCTGCCTCGTACACTTTCACAAAAGTGCAATGCTACATCTAGATTAATAATAAATTGAATACTTCTAAAAGGATACAAAAAATAATAAAACTTGGTGATGTTTCACAGCACCAATAAGGCCCATCAGCGATAGCAGAAATAAAAATACACCACATGCTATAATGCCACCAACAATTGCTAAATTTGTGATGATACTGGCGACCCTACTATAAGCTGCAACACCAATCAGAATAAAAGAAACAAGCTGTAAAATAAAAAGAATAATAATCAGTTCAAAAATAAATTATCACTTAGTCTTATAGTAAATGTAATTTTAAAAGTTTTTTCATAAAACAGTATTTAAAATGGAAGCATAAAAAAAAAAACATGCAGCATAAATTTGAAAGTATACCAGCCAAAATATTTAGACCTTCGTCATGATAATACAAACATTTAAATACAGAACTACAGTAATTAATCTCTTAATACATATCACTATCTTTTTAACTGAATATGACCAGGTTCTCCAAAAATAAAAATAGGTGATCCTGTCACTCTTTCTTCATTCATAGAAATTTACGTTTATTGAGCAGTTACAGCCAAAGAAATATAGGTTTGAATAATTTCCTGTAGACTTTTGTTACCCATTGATTCACTGTCAATGGAAAAATGTTTAACACTTGTTTTTGGAGTGATTCTGTAAGAATTAAAAGAGAAAAAAATTAGGGTTGCTTTTTTGGAATTAATAGTTCACTTCGGAAGTTCTAGTGTGTTAAAATGACATGGTGTCCATGGCACAGTAAACAGGACTTCATGTATTGGTCATTATAATACTTGATAGCAAAATTAATTTGCATGTATTATTTATTTTATGAGAAATTTAATTATTCAAAGTTAATTTAACATTAGGTGGCCATTCAAAATGAAAAGTATGATTTAGGTACAGGGAAAAGCTGTAGTTGAGTGTAATTGAGATGGTGAGAAGTATGTGTTGATTTAAGCCCCATTTTAGGGCTCAGATTCATGCTAAATTACCCAATGTTGTTTTGAATATTACCTGTAAACAGAAACTAATATATATAGACATACAGACCCACTTATAACAAGCTCACATTTAACAAGATTTCGGATTTAACATACAAAATCTGGAATATTTTGCTTGGTACAAAAATTTATTAGAATGTGCTTTTAGCAACCAATTTTTGCTTTTTCTCACACCTCTTTCAGAAAGCAAATTTTGGAAATAATGAAAAACTATAAGAAATGCACTGCATATTATCAATTATTTAAAATTTACTAAAGACAGTTTGGTATATAATTATTATGAAATGAGTTTAAGCGTCATTTAGAAACAGTTGAATCATTTTTTTCAGTCATCAACATGTTCAATTTTTAAATTTGACTGCCAGTTAGTCTGAACAGCCTATTTTCTCCTTTCTAGAAGATAAGGAAAGAATTTTGAGGGGACTTGAATATTATCAGAGAAGTACCAGAGTATTATAAAAGCATTTTCAGTTTCAGAATCACATGAAAAACTCTTTTTCTCACATCTACCTTTTCTTGAAAATGTATTCTTTATTTAGTTGCTTCAAATGTAAAGCGTATGAAAAGCTTTATCACCTAGAAAAATGCTTTCTCCTCAAAAAAAAAAAAAAAAAATTAAATTATAAAACTGTAGAGGAAGAAGAATGAAATGCAGCAATAAATAAGCAGTATGGACTTTCTTCTTCAGACGAAAAATGAAATTTTTTAAAGCTCAACCTTTTTTTTTAAAAAATATTAAACATTTTACAGAAATGCTTACACATTATTGTTAATAATTAACAATGCAATACAGATGCAATATCTTATTTTCTTTACTATTCAATGTAATACTAAAATCTTCATGCAGAAATGAATGGGCAAGGCTTTCTTTTGCTTTTCCAGCGAAACTTGCTAACACATAAATGACGTTAATGCATTGTAACTCGTTTTTCAAGGTGTCTTCTGCTCATAGTGGTTTTTAATTTTTTAAAAATTAACTAATGACCAGATTTGAAAACTTCTTCAACAGATGATTTTAAACAAAAGTAAAGACAACTAATTTAACTAAGCACAAATAAATTTTAAAATTTTACAAAGATGTTATAGTTAGAAAATGGTTATTTGAGTTGAACACAATTTAGAAATAAATATCTCTCATTAAGAAATTAAACTGAAGAAAGCTTATGTTTCTAAAACAAACATTTCAAATCACATTATTTAAATTTTTTAATTGGCTGACAAATATTTTAAAAGATTAAAATAAAATGTTGGTAGAGTGTAAACTTACAAAAAAAGGAAATTACAAAGGCTTATAGAATTTTATAGGATTAACTACATAGATTTGAAAGTTAATTCTCATGAAACTTTGAAAGATGTTTTGGTTTTTGATTACTCGCAATTTTGATTTTTATATTTTAATTAATGGAAAGAAAACTTTTTGTTAGCACTATTAATAGCACCTTTTAGCACTCCATGTAATCAATAGAAAACTACCAATTACAATTTTCTCTCAAGAAATTTTACAGCTTGGTCCTCAACATTTGAAATTTTAATACAGTGCAGAACCTCTTATCCGGAAACCGGAAAACCAGATAACCGGAATGAAATTCGGAACCGGAAATTAATTTTCTTCCATTAAAATAAATTTGTTTCTTCCAAGATTTTGAGCCCATTTTGTTATTTAGAGCGTACGGCGTATCGAGTTGACGAAAGAACTGATTTAGAGGACGAATCAAAAGCCGTTTGTAGACGAATCTCAAATAAGCACAAATAGCTTATATATGTTATTAATGTTAATAATAACATTAATAACATATATAAGCCTGTATATAATTTTTATTTCATAATTTCTTTCCTTATTTAAACTTAAGTGTATTATTATTTATCATTTTTTATTATTTCTAAAACTTTCAAAATAATTTTTTAATTTCGTTTTATAAACATTAAAAAAACGGCATTTTGTAGAGATTCAGAAAACCGGAAAAATCAGTTATCCGGAATCGTGATGGTCTCGATCGTTCCGGATAATCGGTTCTCTACTGTACTTGTTTTTTTGTTATTAATTTTAATGATAATACAATGACTATTATTTACTTACAAATTATTAACTCTTGATTTGTTCAAATCTAATAATTTAATTTGTCATAAAACTAATGGCTTGTTGGGATAAAATTTTTAAGCTAAATTAATGATTAAAATCACAACATACATAATGTACTAGTATCCTCAGAAATTTTTTTCAGAGGGGGTGCAAACATGCAAATGAAAGAAAATCTTAAAAATGTTTAAAAAATCAATTTTTATTTATTTATTTTTTTAATTCAAAAAGTATTTTTATACGTGTTATTGGAAATTTTCAATTACAAGTTTAATATTTTATTCAATGATGCTAAACCTAAGATCCTTAACATGAAGTTTAAATTTTTAACATTATATAAACTTAAATGGTAAAAAAATAATAAAAAAGTTATAATCCTTTTAACTAAGTGCAATATAAGCAAACAACAAAAAAAACGTTGAACAGCTGTATGTAAAACTGCAATCTTTATGTCATAAAATAAATAACAAAAATCACCATCACAAAATTTAGATTTATTTTGATTTTCAGAAGAAAAAAAATAACAAAAACCAATTAATAAAAACTGTCAATTTGGCCTTTTTTATTCCAGATTATGCACCAATGGCAAAAGTCCCAGTTGTAATACCTTAGAAACGTCACTGGAAATTGCAAAAATAATAATCAAAAATAAAAANAATCTCACATAAGCACAAATAGCTTATATATGTTATTAATGTTAATAATAACATTAATAACATATATAAGCCTGTATATAATTTTTATTTCATAATTTCTTTCCTTATTTAAACTTAAATGTATTATTATTTATCATTTTTTATTATTTCTAAAACTTTCAAAATAATTTTTTTGTTTCGTTTTATAAACATTAAAAAAACGGCATTTTGTAGCGATTCAGAAAACCGGAAAAATCAGTCATCCGGAATCGCGATGGTCCCGATCGTTCCGGATAATCGGTTCTCTACTGTACTTGTTCTTTTGTTATTAATTTTAAAGATAATACAATAACTATTATTTACTTACAAATTATTAACTTATTATTGATTTGTTCAAATCTAATAATTTAATTTGTCATAAAACTAATGGCTTGTTGGGATAAAATTTTTAAGCTAAATTAATGATTAAAATCACAACATACATATTGTACTAGTATCCTCAGAAATTTTTTTCAGAGGTGGTGCAAACATGCAAATGAAAGAAAATCTTAAAAATGTTTAAAAAATCAATTTTTATTTATTTATTTTTTTAATTCAAAAAGTATTTTTATACGTGTTATTGGAAATTTTCAATTACAAGTTTAATATTTTATTCAATGTTGCTAAACCTAAGATCCTTAACATTAAGTTTAAATTTTTAACATTATATAAACTTAAATGGTAAAAAAATAATAAAAAATTTATAATCCTTTTAACTACGTGCAATATAAGCAACAACAAAAAAAAACGTTGAACAGCTGTATGTAAAACTGCAATCTTTATGTCATAAAATAAATAACAAAAATCACCATCACAAAATTTAGATTTATTTTGATTTTCAGAAGAAAAAAAATAACAAAAACCAATTAATAAAAACTGTCAATTTGGCCTTTTTTATTCCAGATTATGCACCAATGGCAAAAGTCCCAGTTGTAATACCTTAGAAACGTCACTGGAAATTGCAAAAATAATAATCAAAAATAAAAATAAAAAAAGAGGAAAAGATTCTTTAAAACTTCAATTGCTTTCCTTTATATTTCTCACAGTTTTAAATTGAAGGGGAAGATGAGAACAGTCTACACATTAGCTACATAGATAATTATACTTACAATGTAAATCAGATTCAATGCAATAAGAGCATTTTTTGAGCAAGTAAAACTTCCACACATGATGCAAAAATCAAATGGTACAAATCTTTACACAGGATGTAATATGAAAATTAACAGCGATCCTAAAATTAAACAATTGGTAAACATACATATTTGCAGAATACATGTAACAATAAGAGAAGGAAAACTTAACACTATAAAAAATACAAATATATTTACAATTAAACTTCTTCCTTAAAAAGTACCAGTCTCCATCTTTAGATATTAGTTCAGCGATAGATTGTACCTGAAATAAATTAATTCAGAATATTTTTAACAGTTAATAGAGTTTACTTATTGCAAAATGGTGATAAAATGAAAATATATACAATCAACCCTTAATGTCTTAAACTTGAAGGGAGAGAAGAATTGGAAATATTTAAAATTCCAGTTATCAGAAGTTAGGTTATCAACAGAAGGAGCAGAATTTCAAACAGAAAAACCTTTTTTTTTTTTTCATTATGGCATAAAATGATGCTAGTTCAATATTTCTAACATGAATGATAGCAGCTCTCAGCAGAGATAAAAAAAAAAAGTATTTTATAAGTTTTTGCTATTAAGCACAATTGAATACTTTCTGATGGAAGATGAAGGTACAGTAATTTGTGAGAGACATATAACGTTCTTGTTATTTTCCTCATCTCTACCTAACCAAAACTAGCATTCCAACTTCATTTTAAGTTTTTTACCTTGAGGACCCTGCTTTAATGAAAGAAAGTAAGCAAGCATTGCCATTTAAAAATTTGTAATTCCATCAATTATTGTAAGAGTGAAATTTGTACTCATTTGTAACAATGAGAGCTTGAAAATAATTTTTTAAATCTTGAGCATGTACCTGATACCATCATACAAAATTTCATTCTTTCACTTAAAAAAAGTATGCTTGTCAAGGGATCATATTTCAGCAAGATCGTTTGTAATCATGCAGTACATATACACATATATCAAGGTAATCAAAGTCCAACATTCTGGTATGCAAAAAATCAGGCAGGGCGGGAAGTTTATATTAAGAGAGGTTATATTATTTTGTGGATCAACTTATCTAAAAAACTGATATGGTTCACTATTAATGTTACGGAAAAGCCTTGCAAGCATTCCCCATTGTTATGACATAAAAAAAAGGAGAAAAATTATTAATTGTAATTCCTTTATAAAATATAACAAGGGATTATTCACACTTGCTTAAGGGAAAAACTTCAAATGATAATCACTGCATTCTTCAATCGATTTATAGAAGAGGATGTGAATTATTAATTATGTGAATCAGTTTCATATTGAATAATGAATTCTGAAAGAGAATTTAAACAAAGAAATAATGTTTAAAAAAATTTTAAGCTTTTTATATTGCATCTCCCTACCCAAAAAGTAGTGTATTACCTTCTAAGAAATTTAAAAAATTTTAATTTACTTGCAAAATTTTCCAAGCACAAGTAACATGAAAAGACTAAAAATTTGAAATTTTAACAGACAAGCAATATATAAAAGTAATATAGAATGTAAAAAAAAAAACCTGACTTTTGTAAAAATGATAAAAATTTAACACAATAGAAATGTTGCAGACAAATATTTTTAGGCCCACTTTTCAATTAAAGTTTTCAAATTCTTTTTTTACAGTAGTTGTATTTATAATTTTCTAAATTATTCAAGCCGTTTTCTTGAAGTGCATCAATGTTTTTACCAAGAAATATTTTATTTTATTCTTCCTCTTTACTCCTTTCAAATTTTTCATTTTGAACGAAAAAAATTTTACTTTAAAAATATAAATATTCAAACACATGAAAATATTAAAAAAATATTAATTATTATATTAAAAAAAAAAACAGTTCACACTTCTTTTATGAAAAAAAGTTTCAATCTGAAGTTAAAGACTTCAGTATTTTATTTAAAAAAAAAATTTGCACATTGGTCTTTATTCTGAAGTTTAGGAATTCAGTATTTTTTAGGGTCATATTTGATAAGTGGCTGTAATTCTCAAAAGGAGGAAAACAATCTCTAATTTCAACTATCTTAAGCTGTGAGATCCTAGTTTCAAATATCAGACAAATATTATAAAAAAATATATTTATTTACGTTGTTGAACACTAACAAAGAAAAAACTTCACCTACATATCTCAATCAGATATGGGTAAACGATGTACTCGTAAAATATTCTTAGAGTCGGATGTTCCAGAAAAAGGGGACAACTTGTTCATAGGAGCCATGTTATGATAGGTCATGTTTTGTATTATTTTTGAAAGTTATCTAAATTTTTCAAATGACAATCAAAAATTAAAGCATTAAATTTAATATTTAAGTTAAAATAAGTTTCAAATTAATTCTACCATAGATATTATTAAACCATATAAATATTTAAATGATAACACTCATTATTATTATTCATGACATTTGATTTTTTTCAGGTAAGTGGTATCTTTGCAAATTCAATGCATGAACTATTTGTTTGTTTTTTATTATTATTATTATTATGAGTAATCTTTTTATAAATAACATCAGAAATTTTATCAAGAATTATGCATGGTCCACTAAAATTAGGAGTAGGTTTTCTAGCTTTGGGGTATTTTAAATCTTCATACATTAATTGTATCGTTAGGGTAAAATTCGATATAAATGAATCTAGCATCATATTATTCTTTGGTTCCTAACAGCAATTTTCTAGCTTCTACCATTAGTGGGTAAATTTCTTCTGATAAAGGGTGTGCAAACGGGAGAGTGCCAAACATTAAATAGCCTGGTGGAAATTTAGTTACAGAGTGTGGAGTAAAACTACATTCTTCAGTTACTTCCCTTAATAATTTAAACATAAATTTTTTTTTAGAAGAATCATGAATTTTACATTTCAAACATATAGCAACAAATGTTCAACTTTTACGTTAGTTTCTAGTCTCAGGGCCGCAGTTAACAATTGTTAAATTTTACAATGTTTTAGAAATTTTATAAAATAAGAGGTAAATGCTGCATTTCGATCACTCAAAATACTTTTGGGAATTGGAAAAATTTGGTGTAAAAAGTTTATAAGTTTTTGTTATTGATTTAGAAGCAAAAGACCACATATATGGAATGGAATGATCAATTATTAAAGTTAAATGGATGCAATTATGAATTGCAAAAGATGTGAAAAATGGTTTCCGTTTCAATATTTATATTGCTATAATTGTAATTGTTTTTAGAATATACCAAGATAACATGTCAACAAGTTATCTTGGTATATTCTAATATTGGTAATAACATGTTTGAGGAGCCTTTTCTATATTATATGCTATAATCAAATATACTAAATAGTAAAAACCAGTGGAATAATCTTCCTCATAAATTTTTTAACCACACTAATCCTGCATGACCTGCTACTGTATAATTTTTTTAATAGTTTTTTTTAAAGAAGGAGAATGGAATGCTATAGGATAAGAGACATATAAAACATCTGGCTGCTTCAAACATCCCATTGGCTTGCTTTAACAAAGACATGACACTGTATTTTAGAATATGGTTATGTTGTATTCCATTCTTTTTGCTGCTCTGTTACTTTGTTCATGAGAGTGCAATGTGTCCAGAGTGCAATGTGTCTGTTTATTTCAAGTTTAACATGTTTTAAAATAAATAGTTTTTCCATGGAAACTTTGTTTTTGTTTTAATAAAATTAATATTTATTTGCAGTGACATTCTTGTGACTTTTTCAGCTGTCAAGGTTGTGGGTCGCGTCTTAGAAATAACCAAAATTTATTACCATTGTCATGAATTTCAAGTGTGCATTAACTTGGATTTAGCTGGTACTTCTGATCATCAACTTTGAATAGAGAATTTTCGAGGGCTGTTCCCGACTGACATTTGCAAAGTTGATTGTCAACTTTAGACTGAAGCTCGTTATTAGAATTCACTTCAAAACGCTGTCGATTTCTAAAGGTGCTATTTTCGCCGATTAAAATTTAAACCAAAAACTCTTCTAAAGGATTTACTAAAGTTGGCAAAGCTAATAGTACATATTTTCTAAAAGAACTTTAGTTTGGAAACTGAATCATCACACCATTCTTTAATGGCTACCACTAAGGTATATGAAGGTTTGAATTTAGCATGGATAGAGCGAAGATACTCTTAACTTTAGATCTTGTTCTTAAAATTGTTGAATTATAGTTCTTTCGTTTTTTCGTTATAATTTTTGTATATCTATAAATTTCGTGAAATTTATAGATAAAGTTACTAAATTCATCAAATTGGAAAACATAGAAAGAAAACATTTAAGTAATCTTCATGGACTGAGGAATTTGGAGTTTATCCAAAACAGAACCTGTCTTAATTACAGACGTAAATTGAAAAGAAAGTTAAGAATACCGCTGGAGGTGGGATAAGGCATATACATTGATATTTCTTAGTGTCGAATCTGAATACCAAAGTTTGATCTCAGTGAGCACTGATGGTGTTATCCCGTTTTAAAAAAACAAGAGATTGTGATAACTAAAATCCAAGCAACTAGAATTTACATCATTTTCTTCCTTACTCAAAGCAGCTTAAAGATAAAGAGCTTGCCTAGTTAACTGGAAAGTTAGTGTATATAGTTTAATTTTTTATCAATCTGTCTTCCAAGTAAAGCAGTAAGTTTTCCAAATTTATTAATAATAAATAATACCTATCATTTATTAATCATTTTCAAAGGTCACTTAAATGAAATTATAATTAATTTACAAATAAACAACAAATTAAAAATATATTTTTGTAATGTTTTTGTTTAAGTTTTAAAAGTAGAGAAGATGTCCTTTTAAGAAATATTTTCTTTTATAAAACATTTTAATATTTTCTGAAATACATTGATCAGCAATAAAATCATTTCTCTAGCTGTTATTATCTGCAGAAATCTTCCTAGGAATAAAAAAGGGCAGGGCACTTCCTCACAGAAAAAGGCACTCAACAATATAGAAATTCATCAAATTGAGTATATTATGTAATAACTGAACTTGATCAACATTTTTTAAATAACCCTTTCATTACATTTCATGCATATATTTCAAAAAGTAATTCTTAACACATTATCGAAACAAGAGATATATTTGTAGTTAATAAAAAAAAAATTAAAGGCATGCTAAAAGACAATTTCTTAACATAAATTTTTTTTTTTCGAAAAAAAAGTAAACTAACAAAAAATTATTAGCTGACAAACTTGACAGCTTTTTTTGAATAATTTAAATAGAAAATTGTGAAAAAATATACATTTAACGATACATTTCTAAAAAAAATAGTATTTATTTAAAAAATTAAAATCATTTCAAAAATTCACTAACATATCCTCCTTCCTGTAAAAAAGAAAAACTTATAAGAATTTAACCAGTAGAGAATAATCTTAACAACGTAAATATTTTTTAATAGAAAATCAGAATAAATTTATAAGCACTGATAGTTTTGCCAGTGTGTAATTATTATTTAAACAGTGAGAAATTTATTATTTTTTTTAATGGAATGTGAGTAAAAAGGCAGTATTTATATGAAATGGCAAAGAGAGCGCTTTAAAGGGATCAAAGGGCAGATAGGGTGGTTCGTCCTTTTAAAAATACTTAAGGAGAACAGTTATCTTTTCTTAATTATGTCTTCCTCAAATGTTTTTAAGTGCAATTAATTTTAATTTTTTTTAAAACTTCAATTTTAAATTATTTCCTTAATTTTAAAACTTTTGTTTTATTTTAGACTAACAAACATGAAAAAAAAAAAGAGAATCAATAGAACATCTTAGTTCCAATAATTTAAACATGCAAATTTAAACTTAAATGTGATTATAATTGAAAAACAATGTTTTAGTCACATCTTTGAATTTTTTCTTCCTTTCCTTATAGATTAAATTCTGTTAGCATTATACGCATTTTTACTTATTTCATAACTTTTACTAGTTACTTAAGCCATCATAAAGGAAAATAAACAAAAAATTTATATATATACGTATATTATATAAGGGGGCTGGGAAGGACTTGGTTGGCAGGGTGCTAGACTTGCATTCGTGAAAACGGGAGTTTGAAACCAGCCGGCCTAAGACTCCCCATGTAGTAAATGGTGACTGGTACACATTAAATCTGTCGGGTCACTAAGTCCTCTATGTTCCCAAAACAAATAATACTTCTGGGGGTACTGAACTGGAGATAGATCATTCTCTGGTTCAAGACAAAATTATGATCTGTGGATGAATAAATGGGTCCATCCTTTAAACAGGTGTGATGTATGGGTGTGGCAGAAGTCAAATTCTTGGCCATATATGGTGCCACTGGAAAACAACAATTGCACACCTTGCCTTAATAGCCAACGACAACATATATAATACATATAACATGGATAATATATATATATAACATATGCAATATATATAATATATATATAACATATGTAATATATATAGTATATATATAACATATGTAATATATTTAATATATATATAATACATATATAAATAACATATATATATGCATAGTATACAATTTATATAATATATTTATATGTATATAATAAATATACATTTATACATGATCTTTTACATTCCCTAGGCCTCGCAAAAATATCCTTAATAAAGAGCTGAGTCAACTAAAATATTCCCTGAATGCCTATTCACAGGTCTATTAAAATAAAAACAATAAAAACCTGGACCATAAAACCTTTTAAAAGTAAGCATTTCATTCAGAGCATTGCTTGTTGTATATACGTCTAACATGTTAAGTACATAAAAAGATTGTGTCATACAGGGGCCAAAATACAAACTACCTGATTAAAACAACAATCATGGCACTTAACATAATTTTATAACTTATTTCTTATTTTATTTCAATTATTAACAATGAATACACATTCGAAAAATTTCCAGATGCTGATTTGTAGATTGTAGACTAAAGAAGAGTGCGACGAGTTTTTTGCATTAGCTTATAGCTCTGTATATCCATTAATGCATGCTCACCTCATTGGCTGTTGTTGTTCATTTACGTCGCACTAGAGCTGCACAATGGGCTATTGGCGACGGTCTGGGAAGCATCTCTGAGGATGATCCGAAGACATTTCATCACAATTTTAATCCTCTGCAGAGGGGGTGGCACCCCCGCTTCAGTAGCCCGACGATCTTCACCCGAAGTCTCGCACTTTACGGTAGAACAGTTTAACGAGGACCAATACTGCACATCTTCGGTTCCTACGCAGACTAATCCAAGTGGTCACCCACTTGGATTAGTCTGCGTAGGATCACCGAAATCTAGCACACTGACCACAGTCAGTGGTGCTTGATTTCGGTGATCTGCTGGGAACCGATCAGTCCATTGCGGGGCTTTATTTACGTCGTACTAGAGCTGCACAATGGGCTACTCGCGATCGCAACGAACTATAGGAGGCGCTGCTGTATGAAACGAATTCCTGTGATTTCCATATGAACAATCATTCAGTTGCTCTGGAGACGTCTTTAATGTATCGTGTAGCATTGTAACGTTCCTTCTTTATCGTGGCTTACTAAAGTTAAGAGAGAAAATTGTTTGATATTCTCTCTTATGCAAGCGAAAACAGCAGATCACCGAAGTCAAGCATCACTGGCTGCGGTCAGTGTGCGGGTGGGTGTGAATCCCTTTGNCGTGAAGTGCTCGACTTCGCTCGCAGGTCGTCGGACTACCGAAGCGAGGGTGCAACAACAGCAAGCGAAAACAAAATGGTATATCTTTTTTTTAGAGAAGAAACATCCAAAACACACCATATTCGAGCTAAAATCTAATGCCTGCGAAATCGTTTTACTAAATTTAATGATAAATTATGAAGGGCCTATTTACTTTACATTCCATAGTTCTAAGAATCATATTACTTCAAACATTAAAATATGCAAAAAGTATACATAAGCTCATAATTTTATATAATTTAATTTTGCAAAAAAAGGTTTTTTGAGAACAATTTTTATCAAAAAATTTTAAGTTTCAATAAAAATCATTATTTATAAACTAAAAAATGTAAAATAAAGAATGCTTACGAAAAAAAAAGCGATTCTGAAAACTCCTCACATTAAAATAAAGAACATTCATGTTTTTTTTTTTTTTTTTATTCTAATAATTGATGATAATTTTCTATAGAAAACCATTCTATAGAAAATTATCATCAAATAAGAAGAGAAATTATTTGCAAGTGAAATTTTTTATTATAAAAATCATAACACTTACTTGCTTTATTAATCTGGAGAATTCCAAAATGATATGTTCTTCGTTTGAAAACTTTATTCTCAAATTATATATACATAGATTATCCCTTCATTACTTTAAGATGGAAATATAAATAAACTTTACTATTATCGTAATAAAATTTTATTATTATTGCAAGATCTCAATATGAATTTTAGTATGTAACTTAGAAACAGAATAGCTGAATTCTAGTATTAATAATCAACAAAAATGATATTATTTCAAGTAATTCGGATGATTGTTTATTGTTATTTTCCGAATTATATAGATTCAGAAGAATATTCTATAACTATTACAGTTCTCTACGCTCTGAAATCATTTTCATTCAGCGGAATAAAATGAGCAATGTTGACTTCACTTTAATTTGTAATGCATTATAGACAAAAGAAATTTATTTTATCGTTTTACACCCATCTGTAACAGCATGCGATCACGAAATTGGAAGTTATGTTGTTGATAATAGAAAGGTAAAAACTATGAGAAACTCTTCAAATGTTGAGTGCGCTCTATTTCAGAAAGATTTATCAATGTTCTGGGTAGTTTTTTCAAATTCTTCTACCTTTTCCTTAGGGAAATTCTGCTTTTTTTTGGTGCTAAAAAAAAAGTGGCGTCCTATTCTGCTAACGATTCTGATAGACTTAATAAATAAAAGCATGAAAATATCTATCCGCTAGAGGGCATACTCAAGAGTTGCGATCGCGAATTATCGACTGTGAGGGAAACATTCCTAAGGATGATCCGAAATCATGCCATAGCGATTTTGATTCTCTGCAGAGGGGATGGCTCCCATGCTTTGGTAGCCCAACAACCTGCTCGCGAAGTCAAGCTTTTCACCGTAGAGCAGTTTAACAAAGACCGATACCGTACGCCCTCGGTTCCTACGCAGGTTGATCAAAGTAATCACCACCAGCTCACTAATAAGAGTCACTGATGCTTGACTTCAGTCTTCTATTGGGAACCTTGTCTTTGCTAACGGTCCACTGCGGGATGATCTATAACATGAGGTTGCAGTAAAAAGTCAGAAATTGTTTGTGGCTGAGAAGAATTCAGAGAGGTATTGGAGTTATGTCCGAGGATTGAAAAACAAGTTAACGATATCGGTAAATACTGAATTTTGGAGAGATAAGGACAGATTAAGTTCCTTATGAGCATTCTGGAATGACAGACATTCCAGGAGGATGATTTATTGATGCGTTAGCGGAGTAGCACAGTATTGAGTGAAAGTGTTAACTCACATAAAGAAACTTGAAGATTTAAACATTTCTTTATTTCATACAGTACCATCTCGATACAGCGTACAACTGAAGATATTTAAACATAAATATATCTTAACAAAAATGTTGGTACGTCACCGGAAACAACAACACAGTGACGTGACATAGTGAAGAGACAAGACAGGAAGTCGACAAGAACACATGCTTACAACAATGCATGCTTTATATACAGATTCCATAATGATATGCACAGACGACGTCACTTACGTTATCTGAAAAGAAAATATCTGTTGCCAACACACGACCGAAAGTTAATTCTGTTAACTTAATGTATTCTGAGGAGTAACAAACCATTCCAACATACGGCCCCACGGTCGTGTGATCTATATCAGAGAAAAATATATTATTCACAACTTCTTTAAATTTATTACCCATTAATGGTTTTGTTAGGAAATCTGCTAAGTTATTCTTAGAATGAATANGTATATATATATGTGTATATATATGTGTGTGTGTGTGGAGATTGGCGTTAGGTATAAGATGAATCATAAGCATGACTACGCTTTTTGTAACAAACAAATTTAATTAAAAAATAACAAGAGATATAGAAAACAACAGCTCCGTCTGAGCGCTTGGACAGAAGAAAAAAGTAATTTCACATATAATAAACTACTGAATTTATGTAATTGTTGATAACAATAGTTTGCTTGATATTTGATAATTGAGAACTGATAACTGTACTAGCTCACTTTTTCATGTTTGATCACAGAGCTGTAATTTTTCACTGAATGTTATTATTTTGTAATTTAACCATGTTAATTATTTACTAAGCAGATTGTTTTTACTTCTTAGAATATTATCAGAATTAAATAAAACCCGATTTCAAGTTTATATTGTATGCTTTCCCCATTAGCGTGTGGAAAGTCATAGAGGAAGGAAGTACGTTAGTTTCTCTCTTGATTTTCATATAGATTAAAATCTTTTAACTTGAAACACTATATGTAACTGAAAACTGCATTAAACATAGTTCTAAGGAAAAGTATCATGGAAATTTTAAAAAATATTCTGATTAAATAAAAAGGAAAATATTAAGTAAAGGGAAGATATCGTAGTACATTCCTATACAACTGCAAAGAGGAGGAGAGGGAAGAGAGAAGAGCTAAAGGCATGAAACCGGTCTCACCCCGCATGGCGTATTCGAGTGTTGCGATCGCGAATTTAAAACGAAGCCAAGAGTAACGCCAAGCCAGAATAATTCGTATTTAGTTTAAGATGTATCTGGTTGGCTTAGTTCAAAAATTGCTTTTTACTTTAAGAACGCAGAGGATCAAAATTGTGATGGCATGTCTTCGGATCATCCTCCGGGATGTTTCCCAGACCGTCGCCAATAGCCCATTGTGCAGCTCTAGTGCGACGTAAAGTAACAACAACAATTAAGAACGCAGGTCGTCGGGCTACCGAAGCGGGGGTGCCATCCCCTCCGCAGAGGATCAAAATTGTGATGGCATGTCTTCGGATCATCCTCCGGGATGTTTCCCAGACCGTCGCCAATAGCCCATTGTGCAGCTCTAGTGGGACGGAAATTAACGACAACAACAACAACAACTTTAAGAAACTAGAGTTACACTTCTCTTTCATTTTAAAATTGATAAAAGGAAAAAAAAACATAATAATACCACTTTAAAAAAAATACTACGAAAAATATCACATCCCTATTTTTTGGTGAAAAAGTACTGTAGTATTAAAAATTCTACGTATGGCAACCCTGGTGAATTGTTGCCATAGGTAGAGAGTTTTGTTTTACGCCACCTCTTGACCATTTCGATCGCCAAGTCTTATTTGAACTTGCCTTTCGTCGTTAGCGCATGCGCATTTTTCGCAGCCGTTGTGAGTGGAGACATTAGTCTGCGGTTACAGGTTGCAGATTTTATATACAAAGTATCAGGCATTCATAGTGAAAACGCGTCACCTTGACATCATAACAAACGTTATCTAATAACACAAATATATATCAGACAATCTGATAACAATTTCTTCACCGGTCACAAGTGGTCGTTTTTGCCTATGTAAATTTTTTTACTGTTTTTTTTAACTCGAACATACCTTTCTTGTAAAATGGTTCACGCTGTTGAAGATAAGGTATGTGTATTAACTTAGTTTTAGATTAATGTACGAAATTTTTTCTTTCCCAAGCACTTACAAAATATTTTCTTTGAGGGTGTTTATTCTTATCATATGTATAAATGCTTTCTTATTACTGTTCTAAGTATGATTCGTTTTTGAAAGTAGCGGCGAAATTACCCCTTCTTTTACGCTGTCAGGGGCATCCCCAACATAATGGGTGGGTTGAAAATTTTGCTGCCTGGTTTTTAGCACATTTTGGGGAGGGGCGGGGGTTTCAAACTTTTAAAGGAAACTATAGTCCGTTTAGCGGAAAGATAGACTAGATGTAAACAAAGATACGCCACTTGGCGGCTCCAATCTCACGTGGAGCTGAACAGACTGCAAATATTTCTTAACTTTTTTTTTTCTGACTCATACAACTATGGAAAAAGGAAACAGTTTGCCATTTAGTCAATTATAAAAGAATCGAAAAAAATGTTTTTAAACAGCTATAAAGTATATGAACTCAGTTTTTGCACACCCTAATATCCTAATATGTGATTATATACCTACATGTTAGACTTAAACTTAAAGGAACTATATTTAGTACTGTTATAAGTTTAAATTCTGTAAAACTAAATTCATTAATTAGATTTTACATTGAATTAGATTTTGAAACTTAAAATAAACGCAACTCATTGTAGAAACATTAATTCAATTTTGGTTAAAATTGAACAGTATACGTTACTAAAGTATGTAGATTCTATTACATTCGATGTTAACTTTACGATTGAAAGATAAGTGTTTATTGTGCCTTACTGTTTCACCAATTTGCAAAAAATTTTAAAAATAATTAACTTACATGCATAGCAAACTACAAATATTATATACATCCTGTTTAATTTTCGGTAAATGGGATAGAAGTTATTAGTAGTTTTTGGGCCTGTAATTGGCAAATGAAACTAAAGGGAGTATTAAAAGAAGAAATTTTTTTTCAGGAATCCATTTTAAATTATTTTTCATCTATATGGAGGGGGGGAAGCATGCTTTTTCTCGGTCCCCTCTATCTTTACTGCTAAATGCAAGTAAAAGTTATATTGATTAATATCCTTTGCTTTGAAACATCAAATACAATAAATTGTGAGAACCGTACAAAACGATTGCTTAATTTTATGCTGGTAATAAATAACGTTATTAAATTATCAATTTTCCTGCTCGAAAAGACCTTTTGTAAAAATTCAAAAAAAATCTGATAAAAAATCATAAGAAGCAGTACAGCAGAGGATTCTCATCCCTGCATACTTTTTTTTTACAATTCTCAAAAGGGAAGAGTGTTAATTTTGATTGTTAAATAGTGTCTAGAAAAAGGACGGACATTCATATAAGGGTATTTGCGTGCCTAAAGACTGTGATAAGAAATCATTCCTATTAAATCTCATTAATAAATGTCTCATTCCTAAAATTAAGGTACAGTAGGGAACCGATTATCCGGATCGATCTGGACCATAGCTATTCCGGATAACTGATTTTTCCGGTTTTCTGAATCGCTACAAAAAGCCGTTTTTTTAATGTTAAACCCAACTAAAAAAAATTTTTTTTTGGAAATAATCTTAAAAAGAAGAAAAAACGATGGAGTAATACACTAATGATTATTTCCAAAATGATGGTAAGGTAAAGATCTTTCAAAAAAGAACGAAAAATCCTAAAATCTTATGAGGAAAAAAAAATTTTTTTTTAAAAATGGCGGGAAAATTTATCGAATTTCGTTCCGGGTTTTTGGTTTTCTGATTTCAGGATAACGGGTTCTGTACTGTATAAGTTAATAAAATAAGAATTTTTTTTTTCTTGTTTAGGAGCATGAGCGTAAATGTAAATAAGAATGCAACTTTTAGATAATAAATTTTCATTACTAATTTTATGTATAATTTTCATATTTCAAAGTACTCATTGTAGTATGTAAAATAATTTGCTGTTTTATTAGCAATAAATATATTTCTTTTATGCCCATTTAATTTTATATTTATTTAAATTCAAGTTATTTTAAACTTTATTATTGAATATGTAGTTATGGTATCTACTTCTAAATAAAGACTTGTTCTGCCAAGAATATTTTATTTTTAAAAATGTTTTTCCATCTAAATTAAGTTACTTTTCATTCAACAAGTTGGTTCTCTGTGTTCTGTTGGTTCTTTGAGTAAACTAATTTATTCAGTAATTAGTTTGTAATGATTGAATAATATTAACCTTTTTTATCATTTGTGATATTAAGAATTTTAGTTGCACTTCTATTGTTAAATAATAAGTATTTATACAACTAGTCAGAGTTTTGAATGTTACATGCAAAAACAATTTAAAAGAATAAATAATAATTGAAATAAAAAAAATGCATATGTATATTATATACTTTATTTAATAAAACCTGATTTTTATTAACCATGATAAAATACTTCGATGTTTCATTCATGACCCCTAAAACCCTAAGCACGTCCTTATATAGTAGTTTTTAAGTAAAGTGTTGATATCAGAGTTTTCATTTAAACCATTAACTTTTGTGTATTACTTTCCTTTTAGGATGATTTTGACACCAAACTCTCTGCAGCCGGTGATAAATTGGTTGTTGTTGATTTCCATGCTACATGGTGTGGGCCTTGCAAGCAAATAGCTCCATTTTTTGCTGTAAATTTTTTTTATAAATTAGAATCTTTATAAATTAAATTTTTTTCTCTTTTTGACTTTATTTTTATGTTTATTTCAGGGGTTGGCTGAGGAATTCACAGATGTTGTATTTTTAAAAGTTGATGTAGATGAAGTAGAAGTGAGTATTTTTTTTCTCTCTTCAAATATTCAAAGATAACCAAATAATTAAATATACAAATATTAATTACTTAATATTCAAGTAATAATTTCATGAACCAAAAAATTTTTTTTTGCTAAAACAACTTCCTGCAAAATTTTTAATCATAATATTGAAATTTTATTTACTAATAAATCAAATAATTTCTAAAGATGCAATTATGCATTTAATGAGAATTTTGATTAATTATTTGAAGTTAAAATTTAAATTTAATTTTTAAAGCCTGTAGAGGGTCAATGATAAAGTTTTTTGTTTAAAGTTGGTCACGTGTGCTTTTATTGTAAATGAATTTACACTTTTGCAACAATTTTTGATTTTGTGCTTGAAGCATTGTTTCTTAAACTCAAAATTTGCTTTCAATGAAGCTATCAAAAATATTTATTTTAAATGGGATGAGTGATTAAGCTAGGAAACAAGGTTTAATTTTTATAAAAAAAAGAAATTCTGCCGTGAAGTTTTTGCAATAAATATAAAATATTTAATTGAGTTAAACCATTTTTGTTTCTATTTTTTGAGAGAATGAATGTGATATGTATTCTTCATTTCTGTCACTAATAATGCTTACATGATAGAATATAGCTGTGAGGAATTTTTTATATATATATTAGATAGTATATTGTTATTACATTATCTAATAATCTGTTTGAATTTCTAACTTGCAGGATGTTGCTACCTTATATGATGTGTCAAGCATTCCTAAATTTGTATTTCTGAAAAACAAAGAAAAAGTAAACTTTCAAAAATTTGTTCCATATTTATTTTGATATTGAATTTTCTTATTTCAGCAATCATCAGTTGCTGGTTTTTATTTAATTTTGTATGACTTTAGGATGTCAATGTTTAGGAGTTGAGTGTGAGAATATTTGTTCTATCAAATGTTATAATTATTTTTTCTCTTTCTAAAGAATGTTTAATAATTAGTTTTAAGTTTTTAAAGAATACCTCTAATTTTTCTGTTATTTTTTATACTCATCAAAAATGTTTATCTCTATTTTTATCTAGAATTTGAAAATTATTTAAAAATAGTATTTTTAATTTTAAGGAAACTTTTGGAGTGAACGTTTCATGTAATAGTAAGTTAAAGTAAATTTTAATCAAAATTCTGTTTTTTCTTTGTTTCAAGTTATAAATTTCATTGAATAATTAGTTTATTAGACTATTGTGTAAATATATAAGTGTAATTCTCTAACAGTTATTCAATTTTAAAGCAACAAACAATTTTGTAAGTATAAATTAACATAATTTTACAGAAAACTTATTTTTTAAATCTTACTATTAATTTGTTTTAAGTTTTAAAATCATTGTCTAAAATCTTGAGCATTTAAACTAATATGCATAATACCAGGATACATTTGAACTATTTTATGATGTTCAACTCCATACCCTTGTAATTTTGAACCCAATCAGAAGACAAGGAAACTGCTGGATCAAATGTTGAGAAAAATTTGGCTTTTTGATAGAACTAACCCGCATTTTCAATGCTTCAAGTGGATGGTTAAGGTGATTCATACTGAAGTATAATATATACCAAATAATTCTCAAATGCCAAAAACTGAGTAATGATACATCAGCAGCTGAGGATTTTGTATTAGAAATTGCACACTTCCACGAATCATAAGCTTATAATTCAACGAAATTTTAAAATTTTTGCTAAAAAACTCTGTATATCATTCTTTTATTAGTTTATACCATTGTTTTCTGATGACAATCTGTGATTATATTTTTCTTTTTAGGTTGATGAAATGTTGGGAGCTAATCAAGACAAATTAAAAGCCTTGGTTACACAGCATAAATAATTTTTACTGCTGGTCTTATGTATGCTTAGGCTTTATGCACAACTAAAAGCCTTCATTACTATTTATTTTTTAAAATTTGTTTCATATTGTAAGTTTATATTTTCGCACATAATTCTAGTAAAGATTTTATATATATTCTTGCTACTATTTCTATATAGAGACATGAAATGTTTAAAGTTGCTTAAAAAAGATATATAACATGTTATTGCTGTGGTTATAGTTATTCCAGTGTGACAACTGTCTTCTAGTAATGTGGTGCTTTGTTTAACTTTTTTTTTTTAATTCAGTAAAAAATGTAAATTTTTCTATACTATTAATAGCCATGCAGTAGTTTACTTGACCTTTTGAAATTAACATGTGAATGAGTGATTAGAAGGATAGTATTTCTTAATTTTTAAAGAATTTTATTTATTAATTTTAAGTTCTTTTTTAAAATTAATATCTTAACATTAAAAAGCACTTAAATTGTTAACTTTTTTACACGTTTTCGACTTATAATCAAAAAATTATTTCATATTTTCAATTGAAGTTTTTAAAAACAATGATCTATTCTGCATGTTGCAGGTAGATATCCTATTTATAGCTTAGTTTTTTGTAAATATGTGTACATCTTTCAGTAGCATGAATTTTATCGTAAAATAACAGTTGAGTTGGATATTATTAATGTTTTGAAATCAATCATAAGTTTGGTTATTAAGTCAATGCAAATTTATCTTACTGTTAATGAATTGAGAATGCACATTGACGATTCCTAATTTCTCAAATTGCTATGTTTTTATAGTTTTCATGTGATATTTTCTAAATTATTTTCTCTTTAATAATGGTTATCTGGATTAATTTTAATTACATAAGAATTTGTGTTCCTTAGGTTATTTCATGCTTTTATGATTTATGCATTTCAGTGCCTTTATTGATTTCCAGCTTTAATATTTGCCTTTATGTGCCTTGAGTAATTCTGTCTTAATTGAGTAAATTAAACTGTTTTCTTGTAAAGCTTGCAGTTTTTGATTAATAGAACATTGTTGAAGTAGCATATATAATAATTATGAACTATTGAAATAGCAATATTTCCTGCATAAATGTGAATTTTAAAGGAAGTTAATATAAGTTCAATTCTATAGTAAAATGCTTTAATAGATTTTCTGCTTCAGCAATTTAATGACATGTTTTAGAGCGTTTTCCCCCCAGTAAGTCTGTCATTAGTAGTTCTATTATATCATGACTGCATATAAACTTTATTAGTTTAACCCCTTAAAGCAAAAGTTTTTCCCCCCGGAAATACTGGTTAAAACGTGATAGTTTTTAAATTTTTTTTTTTAACTGAAAATAAATATGTAGGTATAGTGTGTTATTTTTTGCAATTTCAGTTGTGGTGGTGACTAGGTGGTGTTGGTGTAAAAGCTATAAAAAAATTACTGTACAAACAAAGTTTAAACAATTTTATTACAAGTTTATTTTGAATTTCAATATATTAAAATAAAATTAAATCAACTCAAGGGATCATCATTTTCATTGCTCAGACTTTCTGATAAATTGGCACATTCATTTTTTCAAAACAAGTTAATAAACTCTTAGTAAACATCAACTTATGGTTTCCTTTTATGATATTTAACGCAATAAAAATGGATATATTACCTTTTCCACACTAAATAACTGCCTTATAACAGAATTTCTAACAACCTTATAGCTTATCAAAATGCACCACTTGGTTTACACAAGAAAAGTGCTGCATAATGGTGTCATCTATGGTAAATAAATTTAGTTATAATCTAGCCTATTTATTTTTATTAAAACAAATCTCAGACGGGCATTAGAAATAAAGTAAGATTGTCCGTGTGAGGCACGAGCATGTGCAAATTTGCGGGTAATTTTTGCTCACGTCAGACACCAAATTCGTTAAGGGGTTGAAAATTCAACAATACTCCAATTTTTGAATTAGACAACACCAACATAAAATTTTTTATTTCTAGAAAGATTTTTCATTTCATTTATGAATGGCTAGTTATGTTGATTCGTGTGTGTAATTAGGCTGCTTATTATTTTTTCTCCCTTTTTGAAAATTTTATATGGATAGAAATTAAATATTCAATTAGATACTTTGATTGTTTAATTTTATTCATAATTATTTTTAGGGACCATATATTTTATCCTAATACAGCCGAACCTCAATTTAACGACTCTCCCTAGACTGGACAAAAATGTCGTAAATAAAAGGGCGGGAAAATTTCCATGAAAAAAAAATATAAATGAAATTTTAATTATTTTTTGTAAAACCTAAATACAATTAGAAACTTGAATGTAATTTATTTAGTAAAGAGAAAAATAATTATTTTAAAGAAAATAAAAATCTAACATTTTTGCTTGATAAATCTTTTTTTGTTGTCTTTAAGTACTTAATAAATTTTTGAACCATTCCAAGGCATCAATTTTTTTCTCTTGTTATTCATGTCCTTAAAAGAAACTTTTCAGTCAGTGCATGTTGTGCACTGCTGTTTTAATAAATTATTGTGGATCTGAAGATGCAGTCTTCATCACTCCTGAAATGCTATCAATATGATTTTGAAATATACTGGTGTAGGACTACCTTTTCTGAAACCATTTATGATAGTCTTGAGACACATTTTTTTCAAGCAGACTATAATAAATTTAAAAATTCAAAAGCTGTTTTTTTTTGTGTATTGGAAGTTATACAAGACTAACTCATTGGTATTTCCAGAAAATAATATTTGAGGATGCTCTAAATACCGAGATTTTTTTAAATATCGATATATAGGAAAGAATACTAAGCTGAAAAGATGTTAAAAGTAGGAAATAGTTATTTACAGGTGACTCTAAATTCTTGTTTTACTGTAATTATTTATTTGTTAAACTTAAGTGTTATAGAAGTTAATTTTAATTTGTTCTTTAATATTTTGCTACTTATTTTTCTGTGACTTTTGAATAAATCTTCACAATGTTTTTTAAACCAGATCAACAATATTGACTTTGAAATGAGTGTGTAGCTTATGAAAGTTTTTGAGCAATAAAACTGTGCATACATGCTGAGTTGATTGTTTTTATTTTATGATTTTCCTAACACAGTGATATTTGCACTCATCTCATGTTAATTATGCAGATACCTAGATCCCATACCAAAGGCTGGCAAATTAAACCCTGGTTGCTGAATAATAGTAAGTTGATTCAATTTCCAGCAAAACAATTGCAACAATTGTTTCCTCCCAAAACTAGCATACTAAGCCAAGTTTTTAGGTGAATGCTCCCTTCCCCACCATTCCACAAACATGTATAGTAAAAAAAAGAAAAATAGAAAGAATGATTATTGGCTAAAGGTTCTTCTGTTGTAGCAAACCACGGAATTTGCAACTGTGATAGCCAGGAATTAATTATGTCTATGCTTGATGGTATTTTTTAATTTGGTTGAAGTGATAATTTAACTCAAATCTCTTCTTTTTTTTATCATTTATCTAGTGCTAATTTGTTTGATAAGGATAAATTTATTGCTTTGACTTATTTATACCTATTGTTAATTTATTTTGTTGTCTTTATTTTGGTAAGACCATTTCTGTTTTTTTTTAAAATTTTTTTTTATGCTGGTTGAAATGAAATTTTCTTTCCCCTAAAACTTGGTTTTGAAAGTTATATAATGTTTTGCAGGTCGTTTCCCGTCCATTATCTTGTATCAAAATAAAATTATTCTCATCAAAATTTCTGTTTGAGGATACTGTTTGTTTGTGGCCAGGTCAGCATTATTTTAATTTCCTCTTTTTGTTTCTAAAGCTGAAGAAAAAGGATTTTGCGGGACGTTTTTCACCTAAAGTTATCAAATCAAATAAAAATTTCACGAATTTTGAGTAAAAAATTATCATTGAAAATTAAGTAATTTTTTCAACTTTCAGCAATTTAGTTGATGACACAATATTAACTGATAATTTCAAGAACCGATATTTTATTAACTAGTCTCTGTACTTTAAAGTAATTTACGATATCTTTAGCTCATTAAATCACATAGAAAAATCGTGCTGTAATTACCTATAACCCAAATCTACTTTTTTTAAATAATTAACACTATATTTTTGAGATGTTTGCAATCAACATCTGTCTAACCAAACTATTTTCTATTAGGAAATTAAAAAAATGAATAGATAACTATATGGTGTTCGATTATTCTTCGTTCACTAGCAGTTGTTAAAATTAAATATTTTATAAATTTGCTGATATTTCTCTCTCTTGAGTGAATAGTTTGTCGTTTTTAAGCCATTTTTCAGAGGAAACAGCAGTTTTAAATTAAAAATGTATTTAATCAGCTTGAGTAACGAAAGGTATAATAGAATTCACTGTTTGCGTTAGGCGCTCATTAAGGGTTGTCTCAATTTCAAGCGCGGATAATTATCTCCCCTCTGCCGCGCCGATATGAACTCTTCTACCGAATAGGTGGAGCCAAGTGCCAACTCCTGGTGAACGAACTATACAAGCAAATTCAATTAAGTGAAAAATTTAAAGACTAATTTGATCAACAATTTCATTTAGATGAGTTAACCATATTGCCGATCACACTTTGTAGTGGTCAGGGACCTGACCTTACCAGAAAGGTCATGGGTTCGAAACTCAGATGATGTTTTAAAGCAGTGATTATCAAACTTATTTCTTTTACCGCCCCCTTTGAAAATCAATTATTTTTCAGCGCCCCCCCCATTTTTTATACACCCCTAAAACTTAAAAACCACAATTTCATTACTTTAACTAATTTAGTTATAATTAGTCGGTTCTGATGTTTAAACTTACTAAACTAGAAATTTTTACCAGTGAGAGCAAATAAAACCCAACTTTATAATATTATTAATATATTTTAATCAAATTAAAAGAAGCAATATAAATATGTAATCAGTTTTCGTTTTTATACTAATCTAATGAGATCGATGAATTTGATGATATTTAATAAGTTTGTTGATATCAGGTTCAATTTTACTCAAAAGCAGTCGTAAGTCGCCGCGTTTGGTAACTTGCAAATGATTTCTCTTCTTAGTAAGCAGCGTTGTCACAGCGCTAAATCCACGTTCCCAAAAATATGAATTTCACACAAATATTAATTTATAAGAGAAATACATTGCTATTTTATTGTACTATTTTGTACTAATTTTTTAGAACGAAACTAGTTTTGTTGAATATCTTTCTCATTAATATAAGATAAGATTCTCAATTAAAATTTTATATTTCGACTAGTAAATAATGCTACTAATACGAGTAATAATAACTTGTTTAACTACGGAAAATAAATTAATATCATTTCGTATTATAGATAAATATGGGTAATTTTTCATAGAATTTTAGTTTATAATTTAGAACTGGTTCAAATAAAAACCGCCGTCTAAGCCAGCGTTTTTATTATTTGTAATATTTATAATATATAGAAATAGTAAACGATGTTTGCAATAAGTGAACTGCTTAGGCTTACTATACTATTTGACACTGGACTGTAATGGGTTAATTGTTAAAAAAGAATTTCTAACACAACTTTTTGAACAATAATTATATACTTATTTCCATTTTATATAAANATAGTTCTTGAGAAATTAAATGTTAAATATATAACTTTTTTAAAATTGAATAATTCAGTTGTATTTGACTGATTTAATACACATTAAATTTTATATTTTGTCATTTAAAATGACATTTGTTAAATTTTCAATTTAAAGTTCTTTCGTCTATTCTCTTAAATAAAATAATATAAAATAATTAATGCTTCTTAAAAATTATTTTTGACAAGGAACTATTTTTAGGAAAATGAATTTTATTATTGTGCGCTAAAATTTTTTAGTTCGTTTAAAAAAATTCTCGTGGTATGGCTATATATCAGGGATGGGCAAACTACGGCCCGCGGGCTGACTGTGGCCCGCCAGAAGATTTTATCCGGCCCGCGGATAGAATTTTAACTTGCCAATTCGTGGCGAATGTAAACAATATACATCCATTTTCTTGTCTACTTTCTTTAAAGCTATTTTTGTTATTTCTTTTTTAGCAAAGTACTGATGACCTTTCATTTTTTCTTTTTTTGTTCTACAAAACATAAATTGATGAAAATAGTTAGCTCAGACAGATTCAATTGGTAAAATGTTGAAAGCAGAAGTTCTTTACAGAGTAGCCGTAAAACGCCATCTGAAGCAGTTGTTTCTAAGTATGCCAAAGTATGAGTTCTACAAATCATTACCAATTGCTAGCTTCCTAAACTTAATATTTCATGCTCAGAAAGTCAGAGCTATGTTTGCTTCATCTTATATATGTGAACAAGTGTTTTCAACTATGAACCTCAGAAAATATCATATCTAGACTAACAGACAAACATTTGGCCTCGTACCTTAAACTAAATACATCTCACATCGAACCTCAATATAAGAAACTTTTAAAAATGAAATCGCAATTTCATTCATCTCATTAAATATTTAAATTAAAACTTGTAAATCATTTTTTTTATATTTATTTTGGAAATTTTTACTTGGCCCATCAAACTTTTTTCTCTCGATTTTTTGCCCTCGACCAAAAAAGTTTGCCCACCTCTGCTATATATATTCGAGAGTCAAGAATTCGAACATTTAAAAAAAAAGTTATGCTTTTTTTTTAGAAAAAGATGTGTCTGTTTTTCTAAAGTATTTTGAATCTTAGTATATAAAAGTTCAAACTTTTGATCATATGTCATTCAAAGTGCTTGCTTTTTTGCACATGGTACATGTGCACAAACAGAAGTTTTTTTTATATTAATTGAAAAGTTTTCAATTGATCATATTTTAATTTTTTTTATTTAAATAAATATTTTCTTTTAAAAAAAATTTTGATTTTATATTTAGAATTAACACGTGACTTAATAGCAGATGTATTTTTAATTGTTAGAGGGGGGCACCAAAATATTTTCAGTGCTTAGGGCCTCAAGAGGTCTTAATCCGGCCCTGTCTGCCGCGCCGATATGAACTCCTTTACCGAATAGGTGGAGCCAAGTGCCAACTCCTGGTGAACGAACTATACAAGCAAATTCAATTAAGTGAAAAATTTAAAGACTAATTTGATCTACATTTTAAAGTATAGAAATATTGCTCAGTAATTCAGTGGAATTTTTAAAAATTAAGAACTAATTTATATTACGTGAAAAATTTAAAAAACCAATTCTTTATTTCCGTAAACTATAGTAGCTTGTTTTTATTACTGCAGTGAAAAAAAAAAAAACTTATTTTCCGCGCTCTAATTCTTTGAAAAACAATAAAGAAACATTGAAGATGGAAAAAAAGTGACGTTAGCAGTTAGTTCTTGAACTAACTGCTTATAAAATCCCATACTAAATATAATTTTTTTCAATTAACATATTTTTAAGAAATGGTCTATTTTCTGTTCCAACTGGATTGAGGAAATGGGAGCACGAAGTTCCCATAAATGTCCGTCTAAACAAAATCTTTATCTCTAATATTTAAATATCAAAAACAAGGAAAATATTTACATATTTTTGCAACAGCGTGTCACAGCGTGTACCATGATTTTAATTTATTCTTTTGATAAATAAATGTATTTACATTGGTTATATTTTAACAAGCTATTGTATTTTCATTTTGTAACTATTATTTGTTTCCTACTTTACAACACAAGATACTTCAAGAAATTATAATTCATAATTTTTTAGAAAATTTGAAATAGTAAAATTTTATAGTTAATATAATTAGATTGTGAAAAAACAACAATTCCGAACACTAACTACTGATAAGAAGTTTAAATACAGAAAACCTAAATGAAATTGGTGCTGTCATCTAGTGTAGAAATAAACAGTTATCTTTATTCGAGAGGAAAGTGGCTGATAAAATTATTCAATTTTCTAGAAGGTTTAAAGCATATACGAATATAAAAATATGCCGACAGTACAAAAAACATCTTAACAAATTAAATTTATGATTTTTTGACTTTTTTTCTTTTTATCATTCTAATAAATAATTAAAATAACAGTAGTTAATGAAAGGAAATGTATAAAAGAGAATTAAATAATCAAAATTATTTATAAAATCTGAACGATG